TTGCATGGGGGGGGGGAGTGGGAGGAAAAGGGGCAATGTGATTGCTCAAATTACTCTTTTAAATGATAGATTACAGCTGGATTCTTGGAGGGTTAGCCAAGACCAATAGATTAGGATATGATTTAATTTTTTTTGAAAGAAATATTTGTAATGAAAAATAACAACAAAACGACCACCAGTAATCAGTCTCCAGTAGCTGTGGAAAGGCTGCTACTTTGCTGAGATTTTGCCCTGGGTTTAAATGTTTGACAAGAGCTTTATAAATGAGCAGGAGAGGTGGTTTATGTTTCATTAATGAGGCTGATAGTGGTTAATTACCAAAGTGGCTGTAAACAATCCACTACCAGATCAGGCAAGAAGGGTCAGTTCTGCAGAGAAAAGATCCAGCTGGACTGAAAGAGTTCTCATTAACTCTTTAAATACCAAATCTAAGAGTATCTTTCTATTGCCTATTATCGAAAGAATTCAGAAGCAGTCACATTACAATGAACACGTGATGAGTTCAGACATCAGAATCTTTTCTAGAAGGAATGAAAAATAACATTTAGTATGGTAAGTAAGGAAAGAACATCTCTGAAAAATAAGTCAAAATTAGCCCTGATGATGTTACCTAGTTTGGGTAATGAAATGTCTGCAAGTAAATAACCAAGGTCAGAGAGCAGGAAAGAGCCCTCAGATCAAATCTTTGAGATAAGGTGGCCTGGAATTTAAATTTCCCTTTTGCAAAGAGATTGATTGATTGGTGAACTAACTAAATTATTTTGAATTGAGATCTCAGCCCATTAGATTTCTATTCTGCTATTTTCCCCCCATATATGTATTTTCATGCTACACTGTGAAAATGAGCAATAAATTCAGTGCCACAACTTAAAATATTTCTCTTTCATTGTACTTCATTAACATAAATTCAAAGTATCATATACATAAAAAAATAAAAACTGAAACAAAAATGATAAAACACTCAACTTTAAAACAATTGCTAGAATAAAAGAGCTTTGAAAGCTCTTTAAAACAGGCAAAAGAAGCTATTTTATTGTTTAGGTACCTCCACTGAAAAGGCCACTTCTCTTGTTCTCATAAACACTGCTACTAGCAAAAAGATAATAAAGAAGATCCCCAGAAATAAATGCATGTATTATGAACATTCATAATGGAGAAGAAGAAATGGTTAGGTCTCTATTTAGAAGTTGAAAAGAAAGCACTTTTCTCTTAGCCTAGAGACAAATTTCAAGACACCAAAGGAACCAATACAGAGGACAATAAAAAACGATCAAGTACAGGTAGTCCTCAACGTATGATCACAACTGAGCCCAAAATTTTATATTGCTAAGTGATAAATTTGTTAAGTGAGTTTTGCACCATTTGACAACTTTTCTTGTCACATTTGTTAAATGAATCAGTGAAGTTGCTGAATTAGTAACACGGTTGTTAAGTGAATCTGATTTCCCCATTTACTTTGCTTCTCAGAAGGTTGCAAAAGATAATCAAATGACCCCGGAATATTGCAAGTGTCATAAATCTAAATATGTTGTCAAGCATCTGAATTTAAATCACAGGACCATAGAGATGCTGCAATGGTCATAAGTGTGAAAAATGGTCATAAGTTACTTTCTTCAGTGCCATTGTAACTTCAAACAGTCACTTAGCGAACTGTTGTAAGTTGAGGACTACCTGTATCTGACTTCTTTAGAAAAAAAAGGAGGCTAGTAAATCAGAGTTCATAGAAATAGAAACTGTGTAGCTAAACAGTTACGAATGTTGAGATTTCAGACGGCTGTCATTTAGTCTCATATTATCCAAAAACCAGGAAAGGAAAGATTTTTCAGAAGATGCATATTACGGTAGTACAATTTCTTATAATTGTATGTGTCTATCTATCTGGGAAAGGGAAATTAGAGAGGTTGCAAATTTATTTTTGCCCATTTTCTATGGCTTGTGGAGATTCTTTTCAAGAAATCTTAGTCGGAACTTCAAACAAACAAATAAACAATCAGGTAGATATTCAAATTGTTTTTGCCTAAATGTAGAAAATACACACCTCTAATAGAGTCTACTTAATATATAGTTCTACTCTTAAAAAGAGCTTCTCATCTCCATCTAGATGTAGAATATAACGAGTCTAAAGTTTGAATGGTTATTAGGAGATGAAGACTAGTGTATAACTAATTGAAATACTCTTAAACTACAATCTGATGGTAGAAATTAATCTTGTCACATACTCATATTTCAATTATATGATCCAAATTTAGGGAAAACACCACATTTGTGAATTCTGTTAATATGGTTAAATTAGCATTGTTTTACTTCCTCAATTTTCTGGGCTTATACGATATACTGAACCATAAACTAGCCACAGGGGCTCAATTTGTGTAACATGCCAGGAGAAAATATGACTAGCTAGCTTGCAACATGGTATGTCGTCCGAAAAGAACCTTAAGGTCAATCCCTTAGATCATATAATTGTACCCTAGTGCAATTATTCCACAAATTCCCTCTCTATAGGAACACTAGTTAGAGTGGGGCAATACTGTTGCTCTTACTCCCTTAACAGCTGGCTTCAGAGCAAAAGAGATTATTATAACTTCCTAAAAGAAAAAGATACTGTTTCAATGTGAAACCCTCAAGTTGAAAAAAATCATTTTGCAGCACCCTCACAATTTCTTTATAATTGACTATTTCCCTATAATGTTGAATTATGGGATTTCAAGCACTTTGATAAGGATATAGGTACTAAAATAAAGTCTGGTGAGTTTAGTGGGCTTTCCTTCTAAGATTATAAAATACAACCTCAGAGCCTGACTAAGTGGCTCAGTGGCTATGACACTGACCTTGTCAATCAGAAAGGTTGGCAGTTTAGTGGTTAAATCTAACAGGTTAAATCTAATTTAACAAATATTTGAAAATCTTCCATTATAACAAATGATCTACACACAGACATACACACAAAACTAATGAAGTTATTGCAGTTAAATGTTAAAATAATTAACATAGAGGGATTTTGAAAGTAATTAATTTTGAAAGTAATAAAACTCCATTTTACTCCTATTTATATGTAAAATATTTGGACATTTCTGCACACATGTAACATTCCTCTTTTCACCAAAAATGTGTACACTGAAAGCCTTGTTTCCAAGTATGTACCAAATTAATTCACATTGCAGTAAGGTGTCCTGAAACAGCTGTATTATCAACCTGACTTGCCTGTTTCTCAGAATGTTGACAAGTATTAAGAAATACCAATCCCAGTGGATGCTCACCAAGATTCAATCTTTTTACAGAGATACAGGTTTGTGACATTTCTGTGACAGTAACTTTTATAAATACATATATTGAACTTGAGTATATGATGCAATGGTGAAATACAAATTTTTTTACTACTGGTTCTGTGGGCGTAGCTTGGTGGGTGTGGCTTGGTGGGCATGGCAGGGGAAGGATACTGCAAAATCTCCATTCCCACCCCACTCTGGGGCCAGCCAGAGATGGTATTTGCCGGTTCTCTGAACTACTCAAAATTTCCGCTACCGGTTCTCCGAACTGCTCAAAATTTCCGCTACCGCTTCTCCAGAACCTGTCAGAACCTGGATTTCACCCCAGACATGATGTGTGTTCATAGTATTAACACTGTAATAAATTTCTGTTCACTATCAGAGTTGTAGGAGAACATGATGCCACAGTACATGATCAATAACAAATAACAAAGCCAGTAGTAGCATCCTTTTCACATCCAGCTGCTCCACTGACTAAGCTATATACAGAGATTAATTTGAAGAAACAGGAATCATTTGCAGAGGTGACCTTACCTTGAGACAAACTCTGATGGCTGCAAGGAATACCACTAGGATCCAGATTATGAAATACTGTTTCTGCTAGGAGTGCTTATCTATTCTCTATACTGAGATACACACACTTCTGCCCATCACCTTTGTTTCTGTGTCATCTTAACAGAAGCTCTGTCACCTTGATAAGTCTATATTACTTCATCTCTCTATGCCTTCTAGAAGTCCATGAAAAATCTTACTATTCAGAGAGATACTGTAAATATGAATGTGGTGGTCCTTTAAAGTATTTGACCCCAAAACTTTTAAAATTATAAAGTTTTAAAACAACAGTTTAAATGGGGGCCACAAAATAAGTTGACAGCTGACCATCTTGATGAAGAATCTATCTATCTAGAACATTACATCTATTTTAGATCTATTGAAGCTACTATTATGAGTAGTCTGGATATCAACAGGTCTTTTTTTTCCAGATAGATAGCTTCTAACGCTCCCAACTGAAAATCCTATATTCCATCTTCAACAAGTTAATTTGATGAAAAGTTGTATGAAAAGAAAATAAGTAGAAGAAGAAACAAAAGAAGGATTAAAAGTGGAGATAACATTATTTCTAGAACTCTATAAAGGAAAAATACACCATATTAAATGATTTTGAAGAAGTTACTTAATTTTGATTTAAACGTGTTAAGTTAGTGCATGGTGTGAACTAGCCACCTGTGGCTTATTAAACAAACCATGTTTAAGCAAACATGTATAAGGCAAATCTATGAATGGGACAGGATAATTATAAAAAGAGCATGGCAGGAATAAGTATTTTGTTATAGATTTATTACTTTTTAATCCTCTGTTCATTCTAAACAAACATATGGTCTACCCATCTCCTTCAACTCTGAATGATGATGTGAAATAAATAACAATTAGCCCAATGTTATCTGAGTAGAAGTCAGAATCCTGCCTCTCTATTTCTAGTCTTAAATTCTGTTCACTATATTGCATTCTGCTTGCTGTTTGCCTTTCCATGAGAAGGTGCAGACAGTCTGTGCTGGTAACGTGCTATGTTAACAGTGTGAAGCAATCAAAACTGAGCATATGTCAGACTCTGAATCAGGACAACCAAAAAGTTGAGAGAGCTGGCTCCAGAGATTGCTGGGAAAATGTGACGTGTAGATCCTGATGGCCTCTGTCCCTGATGATTCAGTTATTGTTTGATTTATGTGATCTTGCAGCTGCCCTTGCTTTGACCCTGGGGATGGCTGTGTGGGAAGCTTGTGTCTCTAAGATAGAGTGAAGTGCCGCTCTGTAATGCATTTGGAGCCAAAGTGAGTGCAAAGAAACAGATAAATACCGAAAAACCTCTTTGCTCCAGAAGGACTGAAAAGAGGGACTGTAAGAGGACTGAAAAAAGGGACTATAAGAGGATAGTTCCCTGGAACGAAGTGGTGTAAGTAATTTTATTCACTTTTGCCTGAGAATTGTCCATTTTTTTTAAAAAAAATGCTATACTTTAGAGTCATTATGTCAAGTTTGTCATGTGACTTTCAAAATGCAGAACTTAATTATGATGAAAGATTTAGCTATTCATTTGCTTTTACTTTCTTTTCATTTTAATTATTTTCTTGGTTAGAAATAGTGTGAGAATGTGGGAATGTCTGTGTCTCTGTGTGTCTGTCTGTGTGTCTCTGTCTGTCTGTCTGTCTGTCTGTCTATCTATCTATCTATCTATCTATCTATCTATCTATCTATCTATCTATAGAAGCAGGGCTTTCAACTTTACTTAATGGGCATATCATCTATATTGTCTTTCAATGAAAAGACTGTTGGCGCTTATTTAATTCTCATCCACATACGAATTACTTGCCTTGGCTCCTATTATTTGAGAATTGAATATTGTGGTATATTACATTGATGCAATGAACATTCTAGTCTTTTAAAGATAAGATATTAAATTGCTTTTTAAGTTACTCTGGTTGTCCTGTTCCATCTTTTGAAACAAAGTGAATTAGTAAACTAACCATAGCAATATTATGTTTAACAATAAATTAATTAAACACACTGAAAAGAAAAATGGTGCATCTTTCCATTCTAAACCATTAATGAAATACACAAACTAATCTTGGTAAATAGAATTATTAGATACAAACATAGGACTACAACATGTAGGCATTCACATTTTGTGATAATAAAATGGTAGCAATATTTATATTTCTATTTTAAATAGAACTATATTTGCCTTTACAAAACATTAGAATCTGTTACAATGGGAATATTTTTGTGATATTCTTCCTAATATATAATCTAAACTAAATTATGATTGGAATGTCCAAGTAGAAAAACACCCATTTATTTTCACTGGAACATTTCACTTTCATTTCATTTGCTTACACTTTCCATCTCTAAAGGTAACTTTTGATAATTGTTTCTCTCCGCAGTGATAACACTTAAAAAATGACAAAAAAGTACCTATATGGAAATTCAGCATCGTAATGATCGTATTAATCACTGTGGTTTTGATAGTATCAGTGAGCAGAGGAGATATCTATATTGATATCCTATTGATTGCGGGAGTCAGAGAAATATATTTCTCAGCACATTCAGTATCAATAAAACCTGCTGGGAAACATCCTTTGAGCATATAAAATAGATGCAATAATGTTTCTATTTTACTAAAATAGTACTGGGGAATTATTTAGATGGAGAGAAAGCGAGAGAAATCTCACATATGAAATGTATTGCAGTATAGTCATGAATGCAAACAGTTGTGGATGTGTTCAGTTAATTTATTCCTTATTATTAACATATTTGCTTTAAAATAAAGCTTGCTGAAGGCTCTACTATATATTCAAAAGTTTGAGAAAATGTGTATGATGATGTATGCATGTATGTAATGCTCATAACTACAAACCATTACATACAATAAATGTGTGCATGTGTGTTTGTGTGTGTGTGTGTATGAGAAAGAAGTTGCCATGCATGGCAGGTCATATAGATTTATTTTATTTCTACAGATAATTCTCTATGTAGATTTTCCTTCATTTCAAATGACTCAAATCTTCAGAGGAATTCATTTTCAAATATGTGTCTTTATAATAGCAGTCTTAAATTTAGTCATATTTTAAAGTTTTAAAAGTCTTAGTAGCATGTAAAGGAAAATATAGCAAAGTAATTAAACAATGCAAAATAATAAGTTCCTGAAACATTATTGATGATATATTCATCAATTCTTCATATTTCTGTTGTCATTATGAAGCTTTAATGTAAAGCGCTGAAAAACTTTAAAGTCCATTAGAAATAATAAAATTGTCTATGTAAAATTAAATTTTTATATGATGGCAATAGTTATTTTTATATATCAGGGTCTGAAGAAAGAGTTAGGACAAGATCCAAATCAAGATTTGAAACTTTTGCCCAAATCTGATGGTTTTGCAACCTTAGATTTTTTTCCCAGGAAATAAGTGCACTAGAGAAATGTAGGAAGACTTTCAGCTGAAATTCCTAAAATTCTCTCTGGTCAAGAAATTTCCCTTTTGACACTACTGTCAAAATATTTACGATAGATGTTAATGTACTGTCAATTCAAACATTCTGAAATACTCCCTGGGGGGTCTCCTGCGAGGCCTATGCTCTAAATTGTGCAACAAAGCAAGCATTACATTTTTATTGCCATTTATAATAGTTAACAGCTGCACAGTATCTTTGCAAAAAATAATTTTTGCCATGAGATTTTTAGTAACATTCATCACTTTTGAATGTTAAAATATTAAGATTAGTATAGAATAAGCATTTATTTTGCTTCTTTTGAATGAAAATGAATGGATCCTATTTAACCTGTAGGGGACTTTAATTTGTAAGCTTCCTACATGAATAAGCCCAGTTGCACCCTTATCACAACTATATCCACCTTTACTTGAAGCAAATTTAAAGCCATTTTTTTTGTGAAGCTTTCTTCTAAATGCAGAAATGCCAATAAATGTTTCCTTTGATGACAAAGAAAAAGATAACTTTTCACAATTTTCCCCTTCCCAGTTTAGTTCCCTATACCAGCTTTTCCATTCTGTTCTAGTATTGATTTCTGGAGCTTATATTACAGAGGAATAAGGGGTAGAGTAGGAATAGAGGCTCTGTGGCACTTGTTCTCCTCAGACAGTTCAAAAAAGAAAATTCCATGCATGAGATCTCTCCATCTAGCCCCTGGATTTAGTGGTAGCTTTCATTGCCTTTAAATCAAAAGTAAATCTTTCATGCACCGCTCAGAAACATTGAAGGAAAGTTAGATGTGTGATTATGCACACATAAAAAGGTTATGCAGAATGGAAATATTACTTGGAAAGTCAGCTTCCAAAGAAAAGTGTTTTTGTTTGGGCAGCAGGAAGTGTCAGGTATCCAGTTCCTATTTGTGTGATGAATATGGTTCACAGAGCAATAATCAAGAATTATACAGACTATATAATTCCATGGATCTAGTGGTCTCATGTATGACAGCTAGGCTCATGAAAAAAGAAAAGGCCCCAACAGGCAGTTTGTACAGTAAGCAATTCTGTCTGAGGGAATTGTTCATGAACATCAGATAATTTCTTTCCGTTTAAGACAGTGCCATGGTACCTTGCAATTTGCTTTCTTTCAGAGTGTTTTTCAAGATGACAGTTGGGGACTTTTTTCCCTGCTTTCCTAGGTTTTTTTTTTTTTTTTTGCACCCTTTTCTCTTGCCTACTCCTTCCAGGACTTGAAACCAGGATGGTAGAAAAAGAAGTAGGGGGAAAGTTGAACCTTCCCAGTCAGCCATTTCATTGTCCATGGGAGTTGGGTGACACAGATAACCCAGAGCTATTTACTGGGAAATTGTTTATCCCCTGGGATGTGATCCATTGGACTGAGTAAATTGAAGTCACCCCATGCTCTAGACTCTTCAGTATGGGGTAGTATGGGATGTATGGGGTAGGCAGTGGCTTTGGTAAAGAATTTGTCCTATTTTCCTCTATCAATTCCATGGATCAGAATTTGAAAGAGAGTTAAAGCCATGAGTTGAACACTCTATCAAAACTCAACTCCTGTCTCAGATTAAGCCCAACATCAGAGACAGCAACAGGGCAATGTTTTTTCTACTGACAGGAAATCAACAAATTGCTTTGACTTGTTTTACATTAAATTTGTATGAGGATCACGCACCACCCATTGGCCTTGTTATTCAGCAAGATTAGAGCTCAGCTGTTGTAATAGAGTAAATTATTATAGCGTACTTTTATGCTGCTTCATGGACCAAAAGAAACTATTTTAAAATAGTTATTAACCTATACAGTGTGCCAGCTACTCAAATTGCTATTACAAACACAGCATAAATTAGTTAACTGGCAAAATATTGATCTAAAATTCTATATTTTGAAGGCTGCCCCTGCTACTTATGCAAACTATTGTGGCTCCCTACTTTCCACCCATCTGTTCTGTTCCCAGGATATTCAGAAAAAGGATGCTTATATTTACTTCAATTTTGTGACAAATGGATAGACAAGATTGGTAATTAAACACAAATTTAAAAACAATAATCACTGTATTTTAATAAAATGGGCAGCTATGGTTTAAATTATAATTACATACCCAACCAATCAATCTCAATCAATCTCCTTCTCTTCTGGCGCAGCTATTAAACGTATTTGTAAACTTGCTTCTATTTTAAATTAACAACCGTTTATTATTATGTAGTAACCCAGAACTGTGGTTACTTTTAATTAGGGATTCAAATTTAAGACATAAATCAGAATTAAAAATTTCTCTAAAATACAACAAAATAAATAGTCTTCTTAATTAGTCTCCAAAAGTGTCATTTCATCATTTCAGCCTGCCATAACTGATGTTTTGATTTTAAAAAATGGAGCTACTTGTGAAAAATCAAAAAAAGTTCCTATATAAAATTCCTTATTTCAAGCAGACCAAATTCACAATAAAAATTTGTTAAAAACAGTTTGTCCAGGCTTGTATGTATGAAAGTTTGTTGACAATGAAAACAAGACTCTGGCCTTCTTTTTAATATCATGATGAAACAAGACAGGCATTTTCTGTCTACTCATTTTTTTTCCTTTTATTTTCCTCTGAAAAATAAAAGTGGCCTTTGAGTAATATTTCAAGCTCCACATTTCAAAAAATATATGGGCCCATGAAAATAAACTGAGCCAGGATAAAATCTAAATTTGATTCAAGTTATACATAATTAAAAATATAATTACATTAACTATGCCTACTCTGGATTAATCTCTGCATATTTATGTACTTTCCTCCACTCACATTAAAAGTATAGTTTATGTTAACTATTGGAGAGCCTTTGGCATTTGCACTGAAGGTGGTGATCACATCTAACCTCTGAGTCACAATTCATGAATCCTATAGTAGAAGAATCTTATAGAGGAAAGAACTGATTGAAGACACAATTATTACCTTTGTACCTCTGCATGAGTTGTTTAGAGAAAGTGTAGTTTTCTTCAGTTATTCTATATTCAGAATTAATTTGAGACAAAAATCACACAATGTTAACTTTTAAAAATGTGTATTTTCTGATTAAAACAGGTTGATTGGTTCATGCCCTACTGATCTTACTGATAAAGTTTTAATGATTCATCTAGTTGCCTCTGTTTCAAACAAATATTTACAAACAGATAACAAGTGGCAGCATTCCAACCATGCCATACCTTTTCACTTTTTGCTACCTTGTACTGGAAGAGGGGAAGAGATGACTGTGGAAGCAAGGCTTACAAGTTAGAAATATCTTTCAAGAATCTGTAAACAAAGGTTTCAGGTGCCATGGAACTGTTTTTCAATCTTTCTAACTCTTAAGAAATCCGAAAGTTAAACATGCCAATTCAATTTGCAATTTTTTAAAACTAAAAGCCTAGATTCTTGTATAGTAGATGCCAATGAGTCTACTTTCTGGAACAATGTAAAGGTCCTAAAATGTCTATTGCTGTATGTATAATGATTATAGTTGCTCAAGTTTTTAAAATGTTATTTATTTGTATTTTACTTTAGTCTATTATTCTATGTATCTTTTGAACTATAACCAACAATGAAATATTGGTCAAATTAATGGTCAAATTATAATATTTTAATAAAAAGAACTAGTAAGCAAATAAAGAATTATATGCTACATTTAAAATCTTACCCTCTATTTCCTTACAATCAACAGTATACTGACACAAAACAACCCATCTTCTTTAATTTCAGATCCTGATTTGGTCAGTTGAAATCTAACATTATAGATCTTAATTATTACTTGGAGAAAAAAAGAGAATAAAATTCAAACTTTTGCTGTAATTATTTTTCAGATGTAGCAGATACTATTTTGCATCATGTGATATAGTACAGTGATCCCCAACCTTTTGGACCTCAGGGACCACTAAATTCATAATTTTAAATCCCGTGGACCACTAATATAATCCGCCAAATGACTGCTGGGTGGGCATGGCTAGGTGGTCGTGTGACTGGGTGGGCGTGGCCAACTTGATGTCACTCACATTGAGGGGCACCTCACTGGCCTCTACTCGCCCTTCCCCTTCCAGCCGTTCCTCACCTGCCTGCCCGGGATCCTTAGAGCCCCAATAGGAAGCAGTTGTTGGAGCTAAGCAGCCACCATAAGAAAGAGTTGGCAAAATAGCTGGCTCAGTTCAAATTGGATCTGACCAAAAATGAGGCTCAGCAGAAGCACCTCACTGAAGACTACAAGCAGAGGCTTTCCAAGCAGAGGGAAGATCTGTGGGAGTGCAAGGTCAGGTACCAGTGCCTGGAGGCTCAGTGGGCTGAGATGGTCAGCCAGTTCCAGGCCATGATGCAGTCCCACTGGAACAAGGCCTTCCAGCTCTTTGCCACCAGCGGCACTTCCCTCTAGCCTTCGCCCAAAGCCCCACACCAGGAGACTGAAGCAGACCCCAAGTTGAAATTTATGTCCCCCTCCAACCTACACAAAAAGACCCCTAAGGTGGAGACTCTCTACAGCAACACAAACGTTCATTGCACGTATCCGGCCCAGGGCCTGTAATTTAAGTTTATATTGCACTGAATCAGGGGTTTCTATCCCCCGATTCAGTTCAATATAAAAAATGCAAATAATTTTTCTGCGGACCACCAAAATTTTCTCGAGGACCACCAGTGGTCCATGGACCACCAGTTGGTGACCGCTGATATAGTAACTTTCAAATTATTTAGGATTTAGTAGAGAAGTTTGGATACCAATTTGAGAATTAACTTTCTTTGAAACAGAATCTGCTATGCTGCCAGGAAATCTAATCTTCTACTGCTCAGTTCTTCTCAAAATTCCAAATTATTTCAAGGATTTCTGATCCTTATCAGTCTTTCTTTTCTATATGGTATATATAATTAGCATTTTTGTTTGTTTCAGGCTTTATGTTGATTTTTTCTAAGTATAGGAATGTTAATCAGGATATTTTCTTGACTTCCAGATTGAACTAGTGTTGGCTTTTTCCATTTCCTATGGCAGATTTAAAAACTATTGTGACCAGAATGTTTAATTCTCTCTCTTTTTCTTTCTCTCTGGTAGCTAATATCTGGCAACTAAATTGGATAACATCACTAGAGTGGGAGGAGGTAGAATAGTTCATCTGCTACTACTGTCATGGGTGGTCTGTTGTTTTTGTTTTTGTAAGGAAACTAGGCACATTACACTATAAAATATCAATTCCATTCGAGACCCTTATGACTCATGTCAGCATTAGTAAGAAGTTTATTACCAAATTTTAGCAGCAGAATCTGTGAGGCAGAGGTTTCCAAGAATCATAAAATACCAAACCCATAATCATAAAACACCAAACTTATAAGCATGACTTGAGAAGGAAATTTATTAGAAAGGTATTGTATGGAAAGGAGGTCTTCTTCAGGAACAAAAATAAGTTATACTACATAATTTATATTTCCAACATACTTAGTTTAAACTTTTACAGACAATATATAACAAAACAACAAGGTCTGTTATCTGTATGCTCACTTTGCAATGAAATGATGTCCTCATAGTTCATCTACACACAAAATACATCTACACAGAATAACAGTTTTTAATGGAGGCCTGATAAAGATTTTAATCAAATGTATTTGGTTGACTAAATTATACTTTAGAGATCTTCATAGATCTTGCTTTTTCCATTTCTTCTTTTCAGCATATTTTCTCTCTATAAATTGCTTCTAGAAATCTTCCATTTTGGCAGCAAAATCTTGGCTCTTGAACTATAAAATAATTAAATGCAATCCCTTTCTTCAGGTCTGATTTTTTTTTGAAAGGACAACTATATCTGTATTGAATGAAGCAGTGGAACTGGAACAGAGCATGGCAAATACCTTTGTAACAGTATCTGATGGATACTGCCTTAGTGAGCCAATACAGTATTATGGTGAGTAAAACAGAGAAATTATCGATAAAATACGTGTATTAATGAAAACAAGAATTTCTGCAATTGTTAAATACATGTTCTGGATCATATATGAAGAATATTGAAAGGTCATTTGGGATGCCATTTTAGATTTGAGAGAGTCAAAAATAATCCCCCCTAGTACACATTCAATTCAAAGATAATGAAGATGAATATTTTAAGGCATTAATTCTTCTTAAAATCTTTTATGAATGACATTTTTTGTACTTTAAAAAATGCTGCATTGTTATTCAGATATTTAGTCTTGATAGACAATGTTTAGGTCCTTCCTGGATTATATTTTTAAAATCATTGGGGATTGAATCTCCTTCAAGTATAGGACACCTTTAAGCAGAAGATTCTCCTCCCATAGCCCTTCAATAGAACAGTGTTCCTGGGAAAATTGATTACATGACCACAAGAACAGTTACCAAAGGAGAAGTGTTTTAAAGTAAATATATTAATGGTTGTACTGTAAAATTCAGTTTACTTTAATTCTATAAAAACGAAGATGAATTCTTCAGAAAAGGATGTATTGTCTACAGGAGTTCCTAAAAGTCCTGTCTCCAACCTTCCCTTCGTGGCGAAGGTTGTTGAGAGTGTGGTCGCACGACAGTTTCCGCAGTACCTGGAGAAGGTCACCCTGGATACGCAGCTGTCCTTGGAGGAACATCTGACAGCTGTAGCCAGGGTGACCTTCTGTCAGGTTCGCCTGATTCGCCAGTTGCGGCCCTTTCTTGATCGGGATTCCCTGTGCACAGTCATTCATGCCCTCGTCACCTCTCGCCTGGACTACTGCAACGCTCTCTACATGGGGCTTCCCTTGAAGAGCACCCGGAGGCTCCAACTGGTCCAGAATGTGGCCGCGCGGGTAGTCACAGGAGCCGCATGGCGCTCCCATACAACACCTCTCCTGTGAGAGCTGCACTGGCTCTCAGTGGTCTTCCGGGTGCGCTTCAAGGTGTTGGTTATCACCTTTAAAGCGCTCCATGGCATAGGACCTAGTTATCTTCAAGACCGCCTGCTGCTACCGACGGCCTCCCATCGACCTGTGCACTCCCACAGAGAGGGCCTCCTTGGGGTGCCATCAGCCAAACAATGTAGGCTGGTGACCCCCAGGGGGAGGGCCTTCTCTGTGGGGGCACCTACCCTCTGGAATCAGCTGCCCCCAGAGATAAGGAGAATCCAAGACCTCGGTGCCTTCCGCCGTGCCCTTAAAACCTTCTTTTCCAGCAAGCCGGGCTGGCCTAACACTTTTAAAAATGTTTTTAATTGTCTGTTATTGTTTTTAATCATGGGGCCAAATTTATATATATCTTTTTAATTGTATTTTAATGTTTGTAGTTTTTACTTGGCTGTTCACCGCCCTGAGTCCTCAGGGAGAAGGGCGGTATACAAATTTAAAAATAAATAAATAAATAAATAAATAAATAAATAAATAAATAAATAAATAAAAGCAGATTCCAAAACTGAAAATAATTCTAGCAATATGCTTAATTTCCAGTTGGTCATTATAAAATGAAAATGTCATTCACTCTGTTTCTTCCTTTTTTTTCCTATCCTTTTGGGATGTGTTTTCTATATGGTTAACTTCAACCATTAGAGTCTTTGGATACAAGATGGGTGGCAAATATATAACTCAGATGCGGAGCTTGGTTTTTTAAATCAAATAGCAAAATTTTAGTTAGATGTAGAAATATTACATCAGTTTACAATTAAACATGTCAAATTCTAAATTGTGATTTTTTTTTTCAAAACAATCCAGATATTTTACCAGAACATATCAGTTATCCGGTGCAAGACCTTGACTTCCAAGCTGCTCCTTACTGCCAATATTCAACTGTTCAGTTCCCTCCAGTATTACAGACACCGTCTCCACAGACTCATTACAATTCATATAGCTTGGACTCTCAGTTCAGCGATGGTCAATACATCATCAATAATTGTGAACTCAGTAAACCCACCTGCATGGGTGCCCATCATGAAGGGGGAGGATATATTGGACAGAAACGACCCAGGCTTAACCATTCTGCCTTACGAATAAAAGGGCAAGAAGAACTCTGTGTAGTCTGTGGAGACAAGGCTTCAGGATATCATTACAATGCACTCACCTGTGAAGGCTGTAAAGGTAGTAAGAAAAGAATATTGTATCTTAAGTGGGACTGGCATATGAAAGGTTTAGGAATGAAGTGCCAAATACTGATTATTCAAAATATAGGAGAGGAGTTAAAAAGATAATGGGACAGAGATTGGTACTGAAAATTACAGGATTGTAATGTCTAAGCATATTATAGGAAGCAAATTATGTTCTATTAAATTGCAAATGACATTTGATAAAAATCAATGGACTTTAGATAGTTCAATGGTATTAGAGTTGCAGGAGTAAAAATCAAAAGCAGGAAGTTCGGGGTTATTCAGAAAATAAAGTAATGAGCGTACTGAAGATGAACAAACTTAATCTGGAGATTGTCTGATATTTCCCACTCAATACAGTCTTCAGCAATTTGGTCCCTGCCAATTGCACTGATCAGGCCTAGCACTGACATGCAAGTCATTGACATTCAAATTTTCATCACCCCTGAAGTTCAATAAGCAAATTTTCTTACTGAATTTCAAAGGGAGTGAAAATTTCTATTCAGAGGGAAATACCAGATAATCTTCAGATTATGTTTGTAATGAACATACTCAGAAATGCAGCCTACTCTGGACATGAGGTGATGGTGAGCGGAATAGGCCTTTCTAAGCTTTTAAAATGTCTCTTATTATAAATCATTATAAGCTATAACAATGGAGATAATTACCTTAATGACAATATTATCATATTTTACTTATAACATCCATGTAATTCAAAACTAAGACCTAATGGAGCTCATTTCAATGGAGCTCATTTCCTTTTAAGAAATTCTATTTTAGATTTGTAAAAAAAAATTAATTTATTTGTTGACATGCCATTTTTCTGCAATATATTACTTTAGTATATTGAACACTACAAATTAAAGTACAGTAAGTTGCTGATGTATAGTTTCTTTATTATTTGTCTTAATCTGAAATAATTGTTGCAAGGATTTTTTCGGCGGAGCATCACCAAAAATGCAATATACAGATGCAAGAGTGGAGGTCATTGTGAAATGGATATGTATATGAGGAGGAAGTGTCAGGAATGTCGCCTAAAGAAATGTAAAGCTGTGGGAATGCTGGCAGAATGTGAGTGCCAAAACTACTTATCTCTGGTTTCTGATGTGCTACTTAGTTCATATCATGGAATAAATTAACCAAATATAGTAATCGTTAATACAATTTTAATTTATGTGGTTTACAACAGTGCCACATATTTTACAATGTAACTTAAATATCAACACAGTTCTTAAATATGCTTATGAATTTTGGTGTAAATTCTTATAGGTTTGCTAACTGAAGTCCAATGTAAATCAAAACGACTTAGAAAAAAAAGTAGTTTCCTTTGCAACATCAAAATGGAAGATGAGGGAATGGACAGCAAGCATGTATCTTCTACAACCAAACCTTTAAAAGTAGGGTCATATTTCAGGTTTTTATATTTTTTTTAATGTTTTATATGTTTATATATGTTTTAATTATATTATTATTTATATTTATATAATGTAATATATTACATATAATATAACATAAATTATAAAAACATATTAATTATAGTATTTGGCATTGAAGTAAAGCCATAACTTTTTTTCAAAGGTCCAGGAGAGAATGGAATTTACTCCTGCAGAACATGAACTCATTGATCATATTTTGGTTGCTCACCAAAAATGCACAATTCCAATGGAGGAAGCAAAAAAGTTTGTATGTGCTCATACATTAAGATTTTTTTTTTTTTTTTTTGAGAAGGGGCGTGATAGCTCAGCAGTTAAAGACATTGAGCTTGTCAGCTGGAAAGCTGAAGGCCTGGTTCAAGATCCAAGGGCCACACAGAGTGGTGATCACCAGCTTCAGCTCCTGTCCACCTAGCAGTTCGAAAGCATGCAAATGCAAGTAGATAAATAGATACCACTTTGGTGGGAAAGTAAAGATAACAGCGTTCCATGTGCCTTGGCCACATGACTATGCAAATGTCTTTTGGCAATGCTGGCTCCCTCGGCTCTTAGTCAGACACTACTAGAAAGGGGAAACCTTTACCATTATTTTTATTAGATGTGGTATTTCAAGTTTCAAATGGCATATAGGCTCATTTTAAATATTTTTAATTAGTTACAGGAAAATACTAATCCTGAAGAAAATTTTCTACGTCTTTCTGAAACAGCAATGGTTCATGTGCAGATCCTAGTAGATTTTACAAAAAGACTCCCAGGTAATACTTTTTAATACAGCATTTTACAAACTAGTTCTGATCAATCTCTTTAGCTGACTCAAAATATGTACTAACTTTGGGTATATGACTTTATACCAAATTAATCTCCATGGCCCCAGGTGGCAGCACTTAACTGGATTTGGAAGGTGAGATATTACCAAAACATCCTAGAGTACAGTGGCAAACTACAGGATTTCCTTACTTCATGCAAATTCGTTTTATTTGAAGAAAAAAAAAGTTGTTTTCTGCCAGCATAAGCAATTTGCATCAAAGGTCTGGAAACATATAAAGACTTCTTTCCAAATCCACTTGAACATCTTCTTACCAAAACTCTTTTCTCCCCTCACTTATGTGTTTATCAGTGTTCTGTATTCATTCTAGCTGTTCATCCTGTTTTCCATTTATTTCTGTTCCTGCAAATAGCCACTATTACTATGGAATTTAAATGTCTATCCACATCTTGTCCATTAGATCTTGAATTGACACTGATATCATCTACTCTAGTGGCATTCATAGCGTGTCAAAAAAGTCAATATGGTGCTTGTGGCAGTGTAATCAAGGCCACACCCCTTTATATGTGTATGCAGTATTAATGCTTTCTAAAAAGCTTCAGTTGTGCTGCTTTCTTAACTTTTCAACATCTCCTCTATACACTGCTGCTCTAGTTCAAGTATAAATAAGTTTGGATCTAAAGGAAACTGCTATTAATTGATCTAGTTAGCATTTCCCATTTTCTGATATTTTGGTTATGCTTTCTATAATTCTTAACACTGGATACATTGCAAAACAATAATTGTAGTCTAAGATATTTGATGGGACCCAAATTAGACAAAGATATCAAAATCAGTTTAAATATGTGCCATACCTGTCCATTTCAATGAGCCTGATGAATTTTAACCATTCCACTGCTGGATCTGGGATGCAGTGATACTATCCGGTTTTCCACTTTCTGCAAATCAGTAGCCCCTGATACGCTTTCATAAGCTTCTTCAGTATTTGGAATTCCTTTCAACTCTACATTTAAAATTTAAGTTTTACATTTTCACAATGCACAATAATTTAAAAAAAAAAAATTCAAATATCTGCAATGGTCCTATTTAGATTCACAATTTTTTTTGTCACAGTATTCAGTATCAGAATGTCTACGATTACTATAGCTCTGGATGTTTCCTATTGGCTAAGTGGCAGTAGTGGTATTGACTTACCTTTGCTACTGGTTCGCAAATGTGAGCGCGGTCACTCGTGCACATTGCTCATGTGCACAATTTCTGTGCATGCAGAACTTTCTGCGCATGCGCAGAGCGTCCATGATGATGTCTGGGTGGGTGAGTGGAGCCTCCCGCCACCGCCGCTACCGGTTCATCTGAATTGGGTAAAACTGGTAGAATCCCACCACTACTAAGTGGGACTAAAAAGTAATTTCTATTCTCCTTTCCTTCTCTTCAAATTACAAGTGGAAGAATGTTGCTGGGCTAGCAAAGTTTAGAAGCTAACCTCTTTTAGCTCGCTCCCTGGAAAGTTCATTAACCTCCCCTCCCCCTCCCTCTGGATTTCTCCAACATAGAACTTTTATGATGAGAAACAGAATATTTCCAGCAACAATTTTCATATCTGAGGCTGTAAAATCTTAAGAGATGGAATCTAAAAAAATTACAATCTTCTAATCTGATTTTTTTTAATAAAAAAACTTTTCAGAAAAGGTAAGTAAAAGGTAAATTTTCCTTAGTGTTAATTTTACCTATTTCTTTACACTATAGGATTTGAAAGCTTAGCCAATGATGATCAGATTGCACTATTAAAAGGTTCTACAATAGAAGCCATGTTTTTACGCTCAGCACAATTATACAATGAACAAGGAATTGAATATCAAACACCATTTCATGAAAGTAAGTTTTAAAACTTTTTTTATTTTATGTATATAATGAAGTGGCCCATCCGTGCCCTTTCTTTTGAATGACCCTTTCTTCTAACAATATTGCTAACAAGCAATATTTTTGTAGTCTGACTTATTCTCTTAAAAATATTTTAAAAAGTATATTGGTTTTTTTTGTTCTTTATTGTAGATCATATAAAATTTTCTGACCATACTATATGTGGCCAAAATAAAAGTGTTTATCCCACAGAAATGTCTCATAGAGAAGAAAGTCCAACATCTACTAGTACAACAGGTAACGGGGCATTGTGATATATTTAATAAATGGCTAAATATTAAAATATCTTGAAAATTCTTCGACTGAATTTTTAATAATGAAGTATCTCCCTGTCATATTTTTGATTTCATCCAATTCACTATTTGGATTTAGCATCTTGATATATCCATCATGTACATTTTTACTTTTTTGAATCCTGGAATGATCTTTGGCCACTTCAACCATTGTGTACCTCTTTTCTAGTGTCTATTTTACTTTGTTAAATGTTTCCTCTTAATTTCACACCTTGTTTCTCACATAGTTCATATCCCAATTGTTAATATGTTCCATGATCTACTTTTTTTTACTGACGTCTTAAAATTATCATTATACAGTACAATTAAGAAACTATTGTTTAGTAGTTTTTTTCTTGTTCTTCCCACACTAGTGGATGATATGGTAGTGTGGGTGTTATTATTTTATGTTCATATAACTTTGAAGGACTACCATTACTTTTCTCAAGTTTAATTTTGGAAACGTTTTCTTCTTACTATCTGTAGAACCCATTGTGGTCTATTTTATAAAAAAAAGAAGAGTTTGTTTCTTCATTTTTCATTTAAGCTTTTTCTGTTGAGTTTTAAGTCTTACCTTTTGCTTTTTTTCTCTGAACATAGTAATTTTCACTGATTTTTTATTCACCATTCTGATTCCTTTAACATGATTCTTTATTTTTAATATGTCTACTACCATTAACTTATTTAAAATGCCCACAAACCTCTTCACAAAAATATTTCTTAATGAATTTTACCCATTTATATATAGTCTAATATTTATGTTAAAAATAAATCAATGATATATTATTTAGCTGTCATCTGATATTTTCTGTTTTTTTTATAGGTATAACTGAGGAGTTCATCACCGCATTATTTTATTTCTACAGAAGCATGGGAGAACTTAATGTTACCGCAACGGAGTATGCATTACTTGTTGCAACTACTGTGTATTTTTCAGGTAGCTTTAGCAATTACTTAAAACAAAGTTCAAATTTTAAGAATGAAAACAGAAATTTTATTTTTTCTCTTTTAGGATTACCACATTTTAATAAATCTTTAATAAGTCTTTTTTCTAAATTAAGTATTTACTTCTTAAAAGGTACAATACTATATTATCCCTATTTTGCTGAAATTAGCAGAATCATTACCTGAATGGGCATAAGAGAGTTCTTGAAAATCTGTAGCCATTAGCACAAGACTATAGACAGTAGTATTCTCATACAAAACATTATTTCTATTTAAGAATCCAAAGCTGTCTTTCTGATATTGCCTGGTAATTGACATAAGAACACAAATAGAGGGATTCTGTCATAAGGATAGACAAACTGGTTGGGGTTCAGTTGCTCTGTAATTTTGAATATCCTAAAAACAGTTCAAGTTGGAAATGACAGTTATTTGGTTTTACACAAATTAAGTGTATTTATTTATAAAAAATAATGTTATATTTTTCAGATCGACCACTCCTAAAAAACAAGCAACATGTAGAAAAACTCCAGGAACCTTTTTTAGGAATTCTGTACAAATATTCAAAAATCTATCACCCTGAAGAACCGCAACATTTTGCCCGTCTCATAGGGCGGCTCACTGAACTTAGAACACTTAATCACAACCACTCAGAAGTACTAGTAACTTGGAGAACAAGGGATCCTAAGCTGACTTCTTTACTTTGTGAAATGTGGGACTTGCACTGAAGAATTGCTAACTTATATGAATTGTTACAAAGGACTGTTTTCTCAAACATGCTGTTCCTTAATTCTTACCCTTTTATTTTAAGAAATCATTTATGTTAAATGGCTTATATCTCATAAATCTGTTATGATAACTATTCAGAATATTAGCTTGTGTTGTGAAAGAACCCATATACATTTTGGGTAAGCAAAAATATGAAAATGTGTACAATTTATTGACAAAATGTTACTGCCACATTTTAAAAGATATATGTAAAATTTGTTTAAACTGTTAGATGTTATAATGCATTCATATATACATGTCCCCAAGCCATGTCATTCACATCATATTATAATTCATCTCGTTTGCCAAAGCTGAATACTTACAATAATTAAATATTAACATTTATTAACATTATTTCACCTCTACGTGAAGTCATGTTGTAGATGGACTATTTTAGAAGTATATTTTAGAACTCACTCATGCCAACTTTTAATTTAAACTGAAAGTTTAAATTAATACGATTTCATTTGTGAATACAACTAAGATTTCCAGTGAATTTGAAAGGGATACTGTATATAAAATAAAAACAATTGAGTTGAATTTAGCTTCTGGACGCTACTATGGACAACAATGTTTTCTTCTCAGCAATAATGGAAGTGTGCTGTCACTACATTCCTTTGGGATTTATTTTCATTGGGAGTTTTCTGATCTCCCATCCAAGAACCAAGCAGGTTGCATCCTGCTTACTCTTTATTAACATCAGTCATGTTTGGGTAGACATTGCCATCTGTTTGGATTTTATGTTTTAGTACTAGAGGCTAATTTAGACTGGTATTAATGATTTACATTAATATAATGTTAAATAATCCCCAGTTTATCTTTTGATATACTTTCTCAATTAAAAAAGCTTCCTGTTAATTTCTATTATTGTAACTTTAAAGATATATATCTTAAAATCTGCTGTTTTTATATTGGAGATATTATCTTTGCATTTAAGTATTATTCATATCTAAAATAATATTGTGTAAATGACATCTGAATATAAAGCTAATATTTTTAATTTTGTTTAGTGCAATATTTTTCAGGTATATATTTAAGTCTAATAAATGCACTATAAATCTGATTTTCTGTAGCAAATTAATATATTTTATATGCTTAATTGGATCACAAATCTTTATTTCTAAAATACATATGTACACGTTTAAAATGGTAGTCCTCTAATTTAAAATTGCATTATTTCAAAATTTGGAAGAAATAAAACAGACCAAGTAGCACAGATTGCTGCTACAGGATGGTACATTCAGAAGTTCCGTTAGTTCCTAGTTTAAATTTCTGCGAATAAACACCACCTAATTGCTCTTTTTGTTGGTAGAAAAAACATTCACCGCACATCTGATTTGGCTGCGCGCAGATTCTCTAGTGCTTCCCAATTCGGCGTCAATGAAATCGGCTCGCTCCATTTCTAGACTCAAGGGATGGCGGGACCTTGATTGATTTCCTGACACCATTTGCGAATGTTGAGTAGCCTTACTCATCTGAAAGCTTGTTTACCCTGACCAGCTATCAGCGGCTCTCCAAAACTGAATCCGGGGCGGCCATCTGTTTGCAAAGCCACAGTTCTTTCTCATGCGTTAACATATTTTCCCCTAGTTCTTATCATAGTGTTCAGTCCAATTCGCTACAACGCTTTCAGTTTAGGTTTTTGTAAAGACTTTTGTTGTCTTCAGCAACAAAACGTGAAATAAGGTCCAACTGTCTATATGGAGATTCTCTGTCATCCAGGTCATGGTTGTCATGGTGCTTTTTTCAAAAGGGCAACTGGACTTTCTGGTTTTTCTTTGAAGACGTTTCACTTCTCATCCAAGTAGTTTCTTGGATGAGAAGCGAAAGGGCCAAACTGAGAAAGAGGGTCTTCGGAAAGGAAAGCGGGAAAGCGGTCTACCGGCGAGGCGGGCAGGTGAACCTCTGATTAACGAGATATCGATCATTCTTTATCTTTGGGCAGACGCCCCACCCCTTCCCCCTCCCCGAATGAAGTTGCAGGAAAAGGCGTTAAACCGCCGATCTGCGGCTCGCGCTTTTGCACACGGCCCTGTGTCGATTTATTTCCCGCCTTTTTCTTCTTATATTTGTTCCAATGCTTGGGGTCGTTACGCTCGGTGCTGCAGTTTGAGGTAAAGATTCATTCACGCACGGGTCTCCTGGCCTAAGGGCTGCATTTTCATTCCGCTTTCCCAGCGCCTCGCAACCTCCTTTGGTCACTTGTCTTAACGTGTGATGTGTCCGAGTGTAACATATTGTCGAGGCTGAGAACGGGATCCTATGCCTGTCATCTTTATGCATGATTCTAGAGTATTTTTTTTAGAGCTTTTCGGTTATAGATGCTATTGCCCTATAAAAGAAATGTTTAACAATAAAAATGTTCGATCGCCATTGTAATTTAAATATGCCAATTAAGAGCGAAATATAAACTTTCAAGTTAAAAAAAATTCACGCGTTACTTGTTACTAATGTGCTATTTGGCATTTGCATTCATTGTCGTTGGAATGTAAAACGTACATTTAGTTAAGTTTGGTTCTTTATTTCATCAGTAATGTTGACAAATGATACACTGTTTCAGACTAAAGTTAAGTATTACCTGAACATTATTTTTATGATGATGGGCTTTTCAAAATGCTGTGAGATTGACAATTGATCTAGAAACCCATGTCCTAGAAAGAGTAAAGCAAGAGGAGAGAATTATAGACAAGGAGAAAAGAGGTACATTTGTTTACATATTCCTAAACATATTGATACAAAAGTTTCTGAATTAATTGGGAATAATTTACAGGTAAATAGTTGTGACTTTAGTTTCTGTTCTTTTACTATACTTGAAGTAAATAAATACTATAAGTTCATTATTATTTCTTGACAGTTCAGTCAAAGGTGTTTTTATTATTATATTTTGATTTTAAATAAGTTTTTATACTTGCTTCTTCCCCTCTAGATAATGTTTAGACTTTGTGGTCTTATGCATATCCTTTCTCTTTGCTTTACTATAAGTTAGTCTTACTAAATTTGAAAGCCCTCATTTTCTGACAGGGCCTTGGATTTCTACCCCCACTTTTCTATTTTATTGGCACCATAATATTCTTCACTAAAATATCCAGAAAAAAGAGCAATCCTATGGAGACTTTTCATATACAGTAATGGAACCTACGCAAAATTAAATCAACTTTATCTAGAAAAGTATTCTAAATAACTTCAATACCAGCTAAACATTTTATCATTTATTTCTATGTTTGTTAATTTATTCCATTTGTATGCTTCTGAATCTGGCAGAGACTCCAATGGTTTACAAAAATAAATCAACAATGAAAACATCCATGGTAAACAACAATTTTCTTAACTTGAATTATAATAATAAAAAATCAGTGTAATAAAACACTAGATTGGAAATAAAAATGTTTCATATTAAGAAATTAAAAGAACATATTTAGGCAATTCAAAAGCTGTCTAAACTGAGGAGATATTCATAGCTAAATGTATGTATCTCATAGAAAAGCAGCTTACTATGATCTTATTGTATGTTCTAAGTTTCTTGTGTATATGTTTGATCCCAGTCTATGTCATTGCCTCATGAATAATAGTTTATTTAATTGAAATTGGCTTTTTTCCTGTTAAATATAAGCAATATATTTTTTTTAATTTTTTAATCACAAATATTAGAGTAGTAATGCTAGCCTATTATGTGGTATTACTACATGTGATACTATGGTATCAAGTAGTAGGTTGTATAAGAGCTCACACTGATCTGCAGAGTATGAAAAAGTGCAAAGAGAAGCAACTTGATTCAATCAATATGTGCATTAAAGCATAAACATTGCTAAATGTTATTTTGAGATTTGAGCCTGGTGTCTTTTTAGAGTGAGAAAGAAGAAGAGAAATCTTTTAAATTTAAATTGTTTGTACCACCAAGACTGAGTAATACCCAGGTGTCTGCAGTCAAACCACAATCAAGTACACGGGATGAGGATTTCTTTCAGGTAAATATGAATATATCCTTTTTTTCTAAGTAAATGCAGAAAATGTTAGTTTATCTTGTAAAAACTGGAATATATTTGAATAGAAAAAAACTTTTTTATTTAAAAAAATAATAATTTCAACATTTATTAAATATTCAGGGTATGACAACTTTGGAAATGAAATAAAACATTTCAGATTTTAAAATTAACATATTCAATTACTAAATGTTTGGCTCTAAATTGAAGATCTAAATCAGTTCCCAAAAGTTTTCCTTCATAACCTGAAACTGCTTATCAGAAAGACCCAGCACACTGGATTGGAAAAAGGAAACTTGGATCCCAAAGATCTCCAGCCCAGTATGCCAGTCTCTTTCCCCTCTGTGAGCTAAGTGTCTAGCAGGGGTGAAATCTACTTACCTTCCTTACCGGTTTGGAAGCGCAGGCACCACGCACTTGCTTTGCTGGTGCACACATGTGCATGCAGACCTGTGCATGCACAAAACATTCTGTGCATGCTCAGAAGGTAAAAAACACATTACTTCCTCGTTTTAACAGGTGGGTGGGTGGAGCATTTCACTCCTGCTTTCTAGCCTTTAGAAACACTGCTTTCACTAGCTTTCTGGCAATCTTTCTGAAAGATGGAAAGATTGGAAAGTATTTTTACACTTCAGAAAGATCCTGTTTGCTTATCTTTGTTGATCAATCGAGAATTGTGTATAAGAGATCAGAGGTGTGGAAAAGTTAGTATGCTATTTCAATGAATTTCAATGCACTTAATATTAGATTGGAGCCAGATCTGTTATTACATTTTCTAAGACTTTAATAGTTCTAAACTTGTCCTGTGAATGAATAATTAGTTTTAACTGACTTTTCATTAAGAGTCATAATTTAATTTCATCTTTATACATTATCAAAGTGCTGTATCTGTGAGTTAATATGTTATGTATTACCATTTTCATAATTTTTTTCAGAATTTTAGTAATGGAACAGAAGAATATTATAACTCATCTTATGGGATGAAAAATATTTCCAAACATATAGAAGTCATTGGTACGTTAAAGGATGGATTGCTGGATTCAAAATTTCATTGTTTTATATATGTAATTGATAGCTTTTCTATTGCATTTCTATTTTCTATATTTCATTTTATTTTTCGTTTATGGTAACCAGATAAACGTGCCCAGAAGGAAATGTATGCTATAGTATATAGTGTATACTATAGTACTGCACACACATACTATATAATTATCCTCATTCAGGAGTATTTTACTACATTAATTCATTAAATAAACTAGATATACATATATTGTCCTTTTATCATGATTATGTTTACAAACATAAAGTTGATAAAATCCATGAAACAGAATATCAAAAAATCCACTATATCAAACCTGACAAATATTGACAAATAAAATTCCAAATAAAAATGTTATTCCTACATTACTACTAAAATTCACATTTTATCTTAAATAAGAAAGGCCAATAGCAAAGAGACTAAAGTGGGAACAAGATATTCCAAAATTTGAGGGGTCAACAGAGAAGATCTGCCTTCAGGTCCACATCCCCTAATTTTTAGTGGGACCATAATTTTAAGCATCTCTTCTTTGATAGTTATAAAAGACAGACAGAATCTATCTGGATAAGAAAGTTCCTAAAGTAACTCAAGGCTGAGTCATGTGAGACTTTATACATTTAAAACCAGCATTTTGAATTTGATAAACTATTGACAATCAATACAACGATGGGAATATAGGTCTTACGTTGCAATAGTGTCTCTCCCATGTAAGTGTCTTAATTGTAGTGTTTTATACCAACAATGATTTTCACGTGATTCGTAATGTAAATATATGTAGTTAAGGATATGAGTCACTGTTACCAGGATTTTCTGGCTCAGGAAACGTACACCTACATAGGAGCCATAGTGGTGCAGTGGTTAGAATGCAATATAGCCAGGAGTTTGATACTGACGGGTTCAAGGTTGACTCAGTCTTCCATCCTTCTGAGGCCAGTAAATGAGGATCCAGATTGTTGGGAGCAATATGCTGATATTTGTAAACCATTCAGTAAGTGCTGTAAAGCACTATGGAATGGTATATAATTCTAAGAGCTATTGCTATCTGGTACATCCATCTAAATTGGGAAAACACTTCCTTGGCTGTTGCTTTCATTTGCTGTTTGTTCTAGCAGCAGGCACGCCCAATGGAAACCCCAAAATCACAAACCCGGTGATTTCACACCATGGACCATTTAGAGCAATAAACAGAACATAATTGGCAGTCAATATGTTGTACAATGAATAATTTTGTTTTTCTAGGATTCATTTCATGTAGTCCCTCACAGCTTCTAGATATTTTATTTATTTATTTATGTATTCAATTTGTATGCCGCCCCTCTCCGAAGACTCAGGGCGACTCACAATGCATTTAAAATCATTATAAAAAACATTTAAAAATTAAAAACATTAAAACCATTCATGGCCGGATCTTGCTGGATCGCAAGAGCGAGATCATCGGCCCCAGGCCTCCCGGAAAAGCCAGGTCTTCACAGCTTTTTGGAAGGCCAATAGGGTGGGGATGGTCCGGACCTCAGGAGGTAGCTGGTTCCAGAGAGCTGGGGCAGCCACAAAGAAGGCCCTCCCCCACGGGCCCGCCAGCCGGCATTGTTTAGCTGATGGGACCCGGAGGAGACCAACTCTGTGGGATCTTACCGGTCGTTGGGAGTTATGCGGTAGAAGGCGGTCTCGAAGATACCCTGGCCCTGAGCCATGTGGGGCTTTAAAGGTAATAACCAATACCTTGAATTGTGACTGGAGACCAATAGGGAGCCAGTGCAGCTCGCGGAGAATTGGTGTAATGTGGGTGTACCTAGGTGCACCCATGACAGCTCGCGTGACTGCGTTCTTTACCAACTGTAATCTCTGAACACTTTTCAGGGGTAGCCCCATGTAGAGCGTGTTGCAATAATCTAACGGTTAGGTGACAAGGGCATGAGTGACCGTGAGGAGAGCCTCCCGGTCCAAGATACTTGACAGGATTTTCAGTCCAGCTTGAGATAGAGATGTAAAGCTCATTATCATGCCCACACTGATGGGGTCTCAATTCAAACCAGTGGCTTCATGTAAATGTTAGATAGTATAGGAAAGAGCTAAGTGTTGTGACAATCATGGGCTCAGTTGCAATTCCCCCATAACTCAGTTGGAACCATCAATTTAGGAAAGAACAGAATTACTGTAGAATGATATTCCCTACCCCATACATATTTAGGTGTTCTAGATGAATAGAATGCTGCTAAGAAGTCTAAAAGTATGAGGAGCATATTAGCTCCATTCAGATTTCAACAATGGCCATCTATCAGAATAAGCAGTACTGTTTTCAAGTCATGTTCAGATTCTACATATACAGGAATCCAGATAATCTTCTATTCCACTACTTTCTCTAAAATTTACAGCAAAAAGGAAGACTGGAATATGGACCGAAATTGCCTAATAGTGTTGAACCTTGGAACGGCTGCTTCAAAAAAGGGCTAGACCATTGCTTTCTTCAAGATTGGTGGCACTTTTCTGTTTCTCAAAGAGTGCTCAAAGGAGTAAGATTCTACCCAAACACGATCTAGATAATCTGCTTTATCTAGCATCCTCTATTCCATTATTTTCTCAAAGCTTTACCACAAAAAAGATTGAGATATGGAGAGAAATGCTCAAAAGATTAAGATTGATCATTATTGGAGCTTACACTACAAATAATTTTATCTGGTCCGTGGAACTCCAAAGATCAAAACAATGCCAGATAACATTGCAGATATTACTGTATTTACTTTATAAAACTGCAAGAGCTATTCCACTTTGAGTTAATACTTGTGAAGAATTGTAGACCTGGCCTTGGTACTGAGGAAAAAAATAAATAAATGGGGGTGGGGAGAGTTTCAAATGAGATTATATAGTCCTACGAAACTCAAAATAACACCTCGCCATTTTTGCTCAATATAAGAGGAAATAGAAAATGAAAGGCTTTCAGGAATTCGTTATTTTACTTTATAATAATAAAGATCTTTTCTTGAACTCCTGCTGTATTTAATTTTTGACTTTACCTGTCTCTCTTGTAAGGACTGACGATACCAACCAATCCAGTTTGAAATCAATTTATGGCACTATTCTCACATGTAGCTAAATTGAGGTGGGGGGACTACCCACATACCCTCTCAATTTAGAGGGTCTCTTCTCTCACCTCATTTAGATAGCCAATTCCAATATCCCCACTCCCTTCTTCTTTGGATATCTTACCATAAAAGTCCTTACCAATCTTATTTTGAAGGCTTCAAAACATATCACCAATAGCAACCTTTGAATGATTTTTCATACAGTTCCAGGTCCCATCCAGGACCACCAATTTTTCAGTGTAGAAGGAGGGATCTCTTATTTTTCCTAATTATGGATGTGATCAGTTATCCATCCATTTCTAGTGTTTCTTCATTCCTACTTTCTTTCACCCACCCTTATGCAGTTTGTTAAGTTTCATCTACTATTTGTTGTGCTTTGAAGAATCACTGTTTTTTTCTCTATTTGTTCGATGAGAGTTGTACTTCATGCTATTTTCCCCTGGAATTGGAATTAAAAAACAATTTGGGAATAAATAGCAAAAAAGGTGATTAGAACATTGATTTTGCAAAGTTATAAATGGGTTAAGGGGTCACATGGATTTGAAACTAACTTCAAGAATCTTTCCTTTGACAAAAGGTTGTTAGAATTTTATTTTAAAATGATTTTGAAATAAGTATAAGAAATCTTCCTGTGGACCAGGAAGAAACCTCTAGATAAGATGGCACTTTGAAGACTAATGCTAGAGAGAACCAAGAAAAACTAAAAGTATACGTAAAGGAGAAGAGACCCACTAATACAGAAAGGAACAAATTATTCTAGCTTGATATAAATATTTGGAAACAATGCACTCCGAAATTACTCTTAAAATTGCTATCATAAAATTGGATTTAAAAGGTTATAGAAGGGGGACATGCTTTACTGGACAAGACAGGCTGATTTGAATATGGATTTAAAAAGACAGGTTACAAGAATGATATAAATAAAAATGTTATATTGGATGTACGCATGTATGTGTCCACATGTACACATGAATCTGCCAAATAATTTACTAATTAAAATTGATATACAAATAACAGCAAAAAAAATGACTTAGATAACTTTCATTTTGGATTTGCAAAAGTTTTGAAAGAATTTCTGAGGAGACAAAAATAGAATTCTGAGACACTGTTTAAAGGAATTAAAAATAGATTTGAATTTTTAGAGAAAGTGATAAGTTACTGTGCTACAAGTAAAAATATAACATAAGCTAATTTGATTAAGGTTAAAATAGTTATGCTATTATCTCAGGCAATTTTTATTTGTAAAATTTATTTAAAAAATCAATGGGCTTTATTGATTAGGATTAAATGAGGTTTTAAGAATTGTTTCATTAGGGTGATGTTAATGAAATTACTTGTCATGATAAAAGGGGAAGTTATTTTCTTATACACATTTTTTATTATACATTATTTTCTCTACACTCTTTGTTCTTTGTATTTTTTTTAGTTTGTAGTTTTTATCTTTGTAACTCTAAACTTTAATAAAATTATTACAAAAAGAAATACTCATATTGAATGGTCAAAATGTTTCATTTTATAGACCCTTCTCCACAGAAAGTAAAGCTTGTACCTGACATAGAGCAAGAGGTCAGTTAATTATATAATATAAAAGTTATATTAAAATTTGGATTGTATTAATTTGGGAGTTTGGTTATGTTGATTATTAATGCTTGTGAGATAATAAAAGGGTAACTTGCAGATCAGCAGGATATATTCCATGTCAAAATGAAAATAACATTCCTATCAAAATACAGAATCCTATTTACTCATGTGTATAAAATAGCTCATTGGTGTATTTATTAATTATATGGTAATGTATTGGCAAGATGCAATTTTGGAAAGTTTTATCTGCACTTTTATGATCTTATTAAAGTGTTTTTCACTCAATATGAAATAGTTCACATTTTTAAATATAACAGTTCTTTGTGCAGCATTTATTGTTTAATATGTTAATACACAGTTTAGATGTGCCAAGTTTATTATATTTATCACTTCAGGCATTTTTCTCTTTCTAGAGAAAATAATGAACTTTTAATATTTGGCTAATTCTTACATGCAGATAATGTACAGCATTACATTATCATCCATTGTACAGCAAAAATTTTGAAGCTACATGAAAAGAAAAAACTTTTATTAAGGGAAAGGTATTGAAATTAGTATTGAAAAATATGGATGAGAACAAAGGCTGTATATCATTTATCTTGCTTCTATGATCTAAATTTATACTTACTTTAATGATCTTTTTAAATTTTAAATAGTTATCCATGACAACATGTGACAGTTTAATGGATTATTAAATTTAGCCATCCTTAAAGAAAGTTGCTCATAGCATCAGGCTTGTTTTTTTTTTTTATAAAACCTTCAGACTTAGTTTAGACTGAAAACTGCTTTAGATCAGTGATAGTTTTTTGATACAAACATATAAGTAGATTTCAGAAAAATCACCTTTTATACAGTTATGAAATAAATAGAATTTCCTGAAGGGTACTATTAAGAAATAGTCACCTACAAGAAAAAATAATTAGCTTTAGAAAATTACTGACATCTCATTTTTTTCATGTTCCTAGTGCATTGTCCTTAATACTTTAAATAGTCGTGGATAACTTTGAGATTTTTTATTGACAATATTATAATCCCTTCTTTTTATGTTGCATATTTTGAGTATATCCAAGGCTAGGTTTAATGGCAAATGTGAGTACTAAAATGAGATAATTGTTTATTACATTGAAACCTATTTTTGTAGAATATGGAGACAATGAATGAGCTTTATTCAAGGCTTTACAAAGAAGCAGAAAAGATCAAGAGATGGAAAGTCAGTGTACAATATGAATTAAAGGAAAAAGAGAAAAAAATGCAAGAAAATAGAAAAATTATTGAAGCATTGCGTAAAGCCATTCAGGAATTACAGGTAAGTGTTTATTGTATTTTGAAATGGACTTCAGGCAAGTGTTTATTGTATTTTAAAATGGACTTCAAAATAAAGTAATAAAGTAAAATATATTTTTTAAAAAACTTGACATTTAAGATGTTATACAATTTTAAGATGAGTTCTGTGAATGTTTTATTATTTTTCCATTGTATTTTAGGGTAATTGTAGACAATCTTTCTGTTTCCCAACTCATCTCATTCAAAAGTTTAGAGATTTGTCAAAGCTATTTTTATTGAATGCACATGTCAATACACTATGATCGTGGATATGTTTATATATTTTTGATTCCATAAAATTCATTAAAAAATGATAGTAAGACTCACCCTTCACTACCAAGAGTGAACATAGAAAATTGTTAAATAATCCATTTGTTGTCCAGACATTGATAAGTGCCTTATCCTGCTATCTCAGTTTCACACATGATCGATCTCTCTTGTTATCATGCCATTGCAGTTGGATCCTAGGAGCTGGTAAGTGAGATGAATTGGCCACTCCTCATCCCTAGTTATCTTTGCTTTTATGGTAATTGCAGCTTGAAATACAATTTCCTTGCTGATGAATAAGACAACAGTGATGCAAGAATTTGTAAATAATGATAACATTATCAATACACAATAATACAACTGATTATATGATGAGTATACAGTTATGATATCATAAAATCAGTTAGAGCGTTCGTTACACTTCATTCTTGGGATTTCCAATCATTTTTATACAGACTGGAAGAACTTTTTTAGAGTATATGCTTTGTTGAAAAGAAATGTGAACATTTTTTTATTATATTCACCCAGAATATTTGCTAAAATAGAATTAAATTAAGAATCAGAATAACTTGTAGAAGTCAATCATAAGATAATAATTTTCAGATACTGATTAACTCCAAAAAGAAATAATGGGATGAGTATCCATGAATGCATTTAATATTAAATACTGGAACTGTATTTATAACAAGATTAGTACTGAATTCTAAGATCTGAGTTCTGCCAGCTATGTATTTCTGGTTCTTCCTCAAAATAATATCTTACAGGATTTTTTTTGTTTCTCCCTATGGGGGTTATACACATCCAGGTTTTCTACTGATTGGAGAAAAGGAGTGCTGTTTGTATATCTCAAAGTAATTTCTGTTTTTAAAGGGTACTTCCAGTGCTGACAAACGTAGCTATTCACTGCCAGTATTCTCTTTCACTACTGTAACAACACTTATGGATTTGAAATACTTGGAAATTGGAGTAGTAACAGTCTGCCATTTCTATTTACAGCCTGATTGGCAAGTTGCAGGCATAGCTCAGAAGCAAGGTTGAGGCAGTAGGGAATGTTCCATTGCTCCTTGGAACCTCTTCCTGATGCCTGTAACTAGACACTATGCAATAGAGCTGTATTCAGAAGTAGTCCAAGTGATAGTTACTTATTGGCATGGAACAACACCAAGCCAGCAACTGTTATTAAGGCAACTTGTAAGTTATTTAAAGACTTTGCACTCTGCACATATAACAAAATCTGGCCTACCACTTATTAAGGAGAATAATTGGTGGTAGTTTTAGATGTTATGTTGGAAGAAGAAATAAAGATTTTCTTCAGAGCAGCACAAATTGTACTAGCATACTTTACTGTCAAGCCCAGTATTGAGAAAATATACATTAACACAGTCATGAACAAAAGTCCATCTTTTTATATTTGGAGTCATAATTTAATCAGACTAAAACATATCATTTGCATCTTTATGAATTTAGTTTGAAAATGAAAAGTTAAGCCTAAAACTTGAAGATGAAATACATGAAAACAATGAACTTCTAAAAGAGTAAGTAATATTAGTAAAACTTTATTAAAATAAATTATGGAACTTAAATTATTGATTATAGCAAGCAGCAATACCATTCTGACATTGGCTAATTTCAACAAAGCTAAGTAATATATTCATAGTACAGATAATCCTTAACTTAAAACCACAATTGGAACTGGAATTTTTGTCCTAAGTCATTGCGGTTGTAAGTTGAATCTGATCCAATTTTAGTACCATGTTTATGATGATCATTAAGGAAATTACTGTGGTAAAGGAACACTATAGTTGTAAGTGTGAACTCATTTTTCCAAATGCACAAATTATTATCACATTACTGCAAGACATTGCAATGGATTATAAAAATGGATTATAAATGCGAGCCACTTGCCAAGAGTCCAAGTTGCAATCACAATAACCTGAGGATGGTGCAATAGTCATAAGTGCAAGACTATCATAAGTGTGAGGACTATACATTTTTCAAATGATAAGGAAATCCTAGGGCTGTGGGATACTTGAAATAATGACAAAAAATCCTCACGAAAGGACACCATTGTTAAATAGTTATCAAGGAAAGAGATGGATGTGTCCAGATGGCATCAGAAATCAAGCCAAAGTCAATCTTGCAGCAATTATTGACATATATTTTGGCAATTTTATTCATTCATTTATTCATTCATTCATGCTGCCATCTTTCCAAAGACAACCCATTGTTTTGAAGTGATAAATCTTCAACTTGACCAACATCTACCTCACCCATATCACCCAGGTTTATTTATATAAATAATTCAAACCAATTAAACGTTTTCTCTACTTTCATCAAACTATGGCATCAAATCCATAGTTTGGTAGCATATCCACAGGTAGCTATTTTTTGATGCATCCCAATAATGTTTTCATCTCAGCATAGCCCATGAGTGAGGTAATCTTTAGCTGATCTTAACTATTCTAATGATAAAGTAGCATTTTCTCTTTATTCTGACATTACCGGGGATAGCTGGAAGGTACACCTTATCACCCTTTATTACACTTGCATCACCTTTCAATTGGATAGAAGTGAGAAAATTTGCAGTGATTGTGAAAAGAGGCAATAGAGCAGAGGTGTGAAACTCACATCGTCATGACATCATGTGACATATTGGGACTTTTTCCCACTTCACTAAACTGAGCACGGGCGTGGCCAGCGCATGATGCATCTGGCCCGTGGGCCAGAAGTTTGACAGCTCTGCAATAGAAGGTTGGCTACAATTTGGTAAAGAGAATAGCAAATTTAATACCAATAGTGTTTTCTGCTGGCTCAGGGATAGGTGAAGAGCATGTGCATTTCTTCTCAGCCATGGAGAAAGGTTGTATGACAGTTACATTATGAATAAGCAAGCTTCCTTCCACAACAGCATTTTGTTAAAACAATCAAGTAAGCACTTAAAAATTTGTGCCCAGCAGCACAAATCTTTCCCTCCCCTTTGTTAGGCAGTAGATCTTTTACTTTAATTGGAATCAGGTGAGGAAACTACTCCAGAATTTTAAAATTGCTCTGTAAAGACATTTTTTTGTAAAGCAAGGAACTATGGTAGCAACTTAATGTTGTTAATGTTATCTTTTCAGAAATAATGCTACAAGACATTTGTGCAACTTACTCAAAGAAAAATGTATGCAATCAGTGGAGAAGTGCAACAAATGTAAATATACTTATCAGCATTTATCTTTTCCACACTATAAATTGCAACAAAAATACTTATATGTGAATAAAATATTTAATTAATTAATTAATTTTCTAATTTTCTAAATAAAAAAATATTAGCTGGTTCTTCACAAAATGTTTTATTACATATACTATAAGGTCAACCTTATGTTCAGAACTACTACTTGGCTGGTCAGTTCCTCAAGAACTATCATACCTAAACAGGAGTTTACCTATAAAATAAAAAATGTGTTTTAAATTAAAATTGTTTATTTGGTTCAGCAGAGAATAGATGGATGGGTAGATGGATAGATTATATGCCTTTAAATCAATGTCAATTCTTAGTTCTCACATAGGTAGATTTTCTCCAAGATGATCTGTTCCCAAACTCATAAATCTGTCAGTGTAGTTGAGTGTAGCCATATTGCTGCTACTGGTCTTTCTTGTCTTTTTCCCCCCTTTTCCAGCATTATAGACTTTTCAAGAGATTAGGTCTTCATATAATGTGTCTTAAATATGGTAATTTGAACTGGGTCATTTGTGCCTCAAGGGAGAACTCTGGTTGATTTGTTTGAAGAATCATTTGTTTGTTTACATGGCTAACCATGATAATCTCAAAAGTGTTCTCCAACACCAAAATTCAAAAATGTAAAGAACATAGATAGGAAAGCATTTTTTAGTATTGATAGGACAATCCGAAAACCTTGCTTTATTATGACAGATTATAAAATACTCTGTCCTAAGGTCCTAACATTTAATCCTAATTTAATTCTAACTTGAATTATGTACTGTAATTATTACTGATATCTTTTATTTGACACTAACATTTTTTACTCTACCATATCATTAATTTTGTTAAAGATGAATGTGAACGAGAAGAAACCAGACAAATGTATGTGGATCTTAACAATAACATTGAGGTAATACACTGAAAATATTTAAAATAGACCTGTAGTTTAGTAATGCACCTATAGCTGGATCCTGAGGCCATTAGTTGATCTTTTAGCTAGGGATGGAGGAAATGGTACCTCAAAAAGCAGAATGTGATTGTGGTGATGCATTAATACCTAAATTGCTGTGGCCTTTCCTCCTTATTTGTTTTTTAAATTATAGTTATGAAAAACAGTGAAAATATAGTTGACTGTATTGACCAGCGAGCTGTGGTAGCATAGTGGTTAGAAGGCAGTATTGCAGGCTAATTCTCCTGACTGCCAACAGTTCGTTTTTCATTTTGCTCAAGATTGATTCAGCTTCCATCCTTCTGAGGTCTTTAAAACGAGGACCCAGATTGTTGGGAGCAATATGCTGACTCTGTAAACTGCTGTGGGCTGTAAAGCACTGTGAAGCAGTATATAAGTATTTATTTGACTATCGTTTATTTCATCATTCTGTTTTACTGTTTGTTGAAAGTTTATTGATTTATTTCTTTATATCCTACCTAACCACTTAGTAAAAAGTCCCCCATAGACTGATTCTGGATAAGCATGAAATTTTCATTATCGATCACATCTATCATTACTACCATACCACACTAATTCTCAATAAATAGTATGCCATCATATCATATATAGTAACATCATTATTGCTTGAACAAATGGAATCTTAAAAAAAGTAATAATTTAAAAAAATGAAGAAGATGAACAGTGATTAGTCCTGAAGATAAAGTATTGCAGGCAAATATCAATGACTGAATATAATATTAATATCATGGGACACTATTGTATATAATAAATATTAATATTAAACCTGAATATCTTTATAAAGTATGAATATATTAATTTCTTCGAGAACATTTGTTTTTACCCAATTTTATGTACATTTTTAGAGAATGATAAAGGCTTTTGAAGAACTTCGTGTAGAAGCAGAGAACATCAGACTGGAAAAGTATTACAAAAGTAAGAATGTTGTATTTGGCATATGTGTGATGAATAATAAATTATCAAACTAAAATAGTCACTAAGATTTGAATTATATAATCTTATTTCTTGTTTTCTTATTTGATCTTCTACGAATGCTACGTAAGTTATCTTGAACAATTAAAAGAGACTTGCAAAATGTAATTTTGATTGAAATTTTGAAATTACTGTGTCCTGTTTTGTTATGTTCTCTTTATTATAAACACTTATGAAGCATATAGTGGACTACTTTTGTTGAGACATTAATTGACATTCAAAATGTGGAACATATTGCAAAATTTATATGTGGAATTTATCAGAGGTTTCTATTGGATTGAGTTCCTTGAGACAAGGAATGTAATCTAAGTACGAACTAGTGAAGTAGCTCTTTATAACTTTTAATAGAAAGAGTTATAGGTAGTCCTTGACAACAATCACAATTGGGACCAGAATTTTGAGCAAAGCAGTCACTACACAAAATGCCCATATGACCATTTCATTCAATAACTACAATCCAGTTTCTCCTAGTTACGATTGTTAAGCAGTCACCCAGATTGTTGAGAGATTGTGTGGGGATGCCTCGGAGTGGACCATGCCCTGAGAAGGCTCAGCACCACTGATGCATGGAAAACTGCTGCAGGCTAGGAGACTTTGTCTGGGGATAGACCCACTGGCATACTTGCCAGGAAGCCTGGGTCCTCCCTTCTTATCATGGCTTGGAGGCCTGGGCCATCTCCCTATACATCACATCTGGGAGCCTAATTTCCCTGTCCTACCACACTTGGGACACCCTGGCCTCCTCCCCACTCCTTCATGCCTGGGTCTACTGAATCTTTTTGTTTTTTGCTGCAGCTCCTGAAAGAGCCTTTCCAGCCTTCAGAACAACTGCCTTCATTACAAAGATTATTGTTTGGAAGGCTAGAAAGGATGGGAGTCATAGTGCCCCTGAAATCATAAGGGCATGTGCACTGCCAAATGCATGAATTTTGATCATGTGACTGTAGGTGCTGCAATGACTGTAACTACAGGCAGGGGTTATAACTCTTCAGCATCATCATAAATTGAAAACTAACTGAATAAATGTTGTAAATCAAGAACTCCAGCATTACAAATAATACATGGGCGGATAGGGTATATAGAAGTCCAGCTCCTAGTTATATCTTTGGCAGAGTATTAGAAAGCATTGGAATCTAACAAAATTAATGAATGTTTTTTAACTTTAACTTTAACTTTAAGGAGATTTATTTGCAGGAAGTATATTGTCAAGATAGACAAAGTCAAGCACCTGCTCCTACCAGGAGAATCCAAGAGTTGTGTTCTGTGTATGTATGCCCAGAATAAAGCAGAGGGAAGTGACTTATATCTGATAAATAAAGGACATACACACACTTCCTGTTAAAGATGTTCTTATCATGTACTCATGTTGGCTTGTTTCTAAAATTGCTTAAGAAAATCCTGCCCAAAGTGAGACATTTTGGCAATAGCTTGCAAAAGACTTATGCAGTAGGTTATCCCATCCAGCATAAGCATCCTGTCTTGTTCCTTGACATGAATTTTTATCAGCTGTCATCTTTAAATAGTATTGGTCTGCTATCACTCCAAAACCTGGTGATATATTTTGGAGCAGGTTACTTATTTGAGATTGCAGTGAAATCAGTATGAGATATGATTAGCAAACAAAAATAAGTCTATTACCTTCTCATTTTAAATGAAGGACTTTACTGTAGAGATAACATGTTTTATTTTCTTTACTAATTTAAATGTTAATGTAAATTATTGTTATTTTGGAAGTAAAAGAAGCAGCTGATAAAATAGAACAGCTTGAAAAAGGACACAAGAGAGAGATAAATTCCATGGAAAAAGAGGTTTGTTTATGATTACTTATTTTTGTTAGATTAGTTATAAGTAATGTATATAAATCAACATTTTAAATTATTTTTCTGAATAAATCTTTTAGGGGCATTTTTTAAAATAAAAATAATATATAGTTGGAAGTCCTTAACAGAAAATTGGAGTTTTCTCCTAGAAGGTTATAAAATAATAAAAACATAGTAAAGAGATGAATTAATGCATTTGACAGAAAAAGGAGAGAAAGAAAAGGTGATGTTAAATTATTGAAATCACCGTTCTACATTGGATGGAAGACTAGCATAATTTAAAATATGTGTTTTGTTAAAAATAATGGATTTCCAAAATCCATTTTTATCATCAACTCCCCTGCTTGGTTCATGAATCCAAATTGAAACAACCCAAATAGATACTTGTGTATTCTTTTCTGAAAGATGAATGGAGTCAACCACTTGTGTCACAATAACTGTAACTAGTTCAAAATGGAAGTAGATAACGGAATAGGGAAGGCGTAGCAAAATTTTGTGCATAACTCTAAATGATAGTGAGCAATATCTACAACCCTTTGGATCACATTAAATCTAGGAATAGTATGTTGAATATTGTATGCATGTATGTACATATATGCATGTGTGCCAAAAAACAAAACAAACTGTACCAACTTGGAGTGGAAAAATTCATGACTTTCTTCCGGTTAGAAAGCAGAGATAAAAAAACTTTTCCACCCCAGTTTTCATTTGAAATGTCATTACTATGAGAGGTAGGAAATCAGTTAGGTAGTGAAATTAAATTCCTTCATTTGCACAAACAGATATTATATCACAATCCCACTTAAATTTTTTATTTTCTTAAAGCTGTAAATGACAGGAAGTGAGTTATGTTCTTGCATTAAAATTGATAGTGGATGCTAAAATATCTCCTGACTAAAGCCACTGGTTTCCCACTTAATCAGGATGAATAGCTGAAGTTGGAGTTTTATTTCCCTCTGTCCTCCTCTTATGTCACAGTCTCCTCTGCATTCAGATCAATAGGGAGATTGTGAACTCCCTAGAATAAAAATCACTGCTGTACTTAAAAAGCCTGGGTTAATGAACTTTTCCTTACTGTTGAATGTGGAGGGACTAAGCTGTATAAGTCATGAAGAGATCAACTGTGAGTTGTTTCATTCTTAGTGTACACTTTGACCTTGTTGTCTGGTATAACTTCAGAAAATTTATGTTCCATTTTAGTCTTATTGCTTGTATCAGGTGTAAAGTATCAGTACCATACGTTAAGTTGCAGTTCAGAAGATTTATTTCTCAAGTCTATACACAAGAATCTAGTCAACTAATGGTCAATACTAAATTGGCGCTAGACAGGAATTAACTGAATTCGGGGTGGGGGGGCTGGACTTGGGGCTAGATTGCTTATGGCAAAGTAATGACTCCAGACTACTCCCTTAATTCCACCTTCTGGCTTTGCCTCTTTTCTTACATCTTGTCATATAAAAAACTCTGTGACAAGAATATGAAACTCAAACGGAATTTGAGCAAACATGACTTGTCAATTATTTATTTGATTAGATTTCTATACTGAAAGAAGAAAATGATAAAAAAGATAACAAAATAAAACAGACAGATAGTCAGTTACAGGAATCAAGATTGTTAATACTTGAATTCGAAGAAATAAGAAGTAAGTATTTTTATTGCTATCCTAGTTATCCTCTTTTTGTTTCCCCCCCCTCTCTCTGTGTGTGTGTGTGTGTGTGTGTGTGTGTGTGTGTGTGTGTGTGTGTGTATTCAATTGATTTATCTCCTCCATTCCTCTTTGTTCTGTTTCATTTTCATTATGCTGCTTCCTCCTTCACCTCATTTCCCAGCCAATGTATAATCATGTTTTCTCCAAGCACTGTGATGTCTTGGCAAACACATTTTCATAGTATTGCGCCATTTCACCTGTATTAGAATCTAAGAAAAATTCCATGGATAAAAATCCTAAAGGGGAAAAGAGCTCAAAAAGCATGGGAAACTCTGAAAAATATGATTATAAAAGCCCAGTCCAGCACAATACCACTGAAAAAGAAAAACAAGAAATCCAAGAAGAAACCAGCATGGTTACACAAAGATCTCGGAGAATCTAAAAGACAAAAAGGAAAAGTACAAAAAAAGGAAAGACAGGCACATAATTAAGGCAGAGTATCTTGACAGACAAACAATGGGCCCTATCCAACAAAATGAAATTTAATTTGGAAAAAAGTAAGGTACAAGAACAGATTGGCGAAACCTGGTTTAAAAACAGTAACTGTGAGAGGGAGCTTGGAGTCCTAGTCGATGATCACTTAAATATGAGCCAGCACTGTGCGACAGCAGCCACAAAAGCTAATACAATCCATGATTGTATAAACAGGCATAGAATCAAAATTGTGAAGTATTAGTACCATTTTATAAAGCCTTAGTAAGGCCACACTTGGAATACTGCATCCAGTTTTGGTCACATTACAAAAAAGAGACTGGAAAAAGTGCAAAGGAGCAATTAAGATGACTAAAGGCCTGGAGGCAAATTTATGAAGAACAGTTGCAGGACTTGGATTTGGCTAATCTAGAGAAAAGAAGAACTGGGGGTGGGGAGAGGAAACATGATAGCAGTATTCTAGCATTCAAGAGGTTGCCATAATGAGGAGGGGGTCAACTTATTTTCCAAAGGACAAGAAACTGGATGGAAACTAATCAAGGAAAGAAGGAACCTGAAATTAAGGAGAAACTTTCTAACGGTGAGAACAATTAACCAGTGGAACAGCTTCCCTTCAGAAGTTGTAGGTGCTTCACAGTGGTGAAATCTAAAATTTGTTACTACCGGTTCTGTGGGCGTGGCTTGGTGTGTGTGTGGGGTAATGTGACGGTGGGCGTGACCCAAAATTTTTTTTTTACTTTTAAAACCATTTTTTCACCAGAGGTTGTAAAAAAATGCTTTAAAAAGGCTCTGACGGTCCCAGCTTGGATGATCAGAGGCATTTAAAAGAAAAAATCCTTTTTTTCTTTTAAATGCCTCTGACGATCCAAGCTGAGTTGCCTGATCGGCAGATGCTTTTTTAAAAAGTACTTTTTTGGAGTATAAGACATACTTTTTTCCATCCTAAAAGAGGCTGAAAATTTGGGTGCATCTTATACTCCGAATGTGACCCCGCCCCCCCCCCCCCCTTGGCCTCTGCGTGTCATCTTCCTAGCTGCAGAGATTACCATCAACTGGCTTGTATTTTTGGGTTCCACGATCGCATTGTCAGCCTCCAAACGCTCCGTTTGAGAGCCCTTCAAGGCTGCAGGGATCGCCAAAGCATATCACCGCCAATTGCAGCCCGAAAATGTGATGAGTTTTGAGCCCAAAATGGCTATCCAGAACAGCTGTTGCCTTCTCTTACCCCTTCCATGCTTCACCTGCTTTAGTCATTGGAGCTCCCTCCGATGATCAGCTGTGCTTTTGAAGCTGTTTTTCAGCAAGCGAAGTGATCTGCGCTTTGCCTGCTTTTCTAATTGCTGCTCCCTCCGATGATTAGTTGTGCTTTAGAAGCTGTTTTTTAGCTCCAATCTCAAAACCAGCGAGCGAACTAATGTGCTGAAGCTGACCAGGCTAAGGACGCTAGCCAGATGAATACCTGGTAGGCAGAATTTCCTCCCCCAAAACTAAGGTGCGTCTTATACTCTGAAAAATATGGTATATTTTCCTCACTTGTTTTTTAAGCTCCTATGAGCTTAAAACAATGCTTGTTTTTAAACCTACTTTTCTGCAGAGCTACATATATGCTTCCCAAAGTTCAAAAATAAATTCTTGAATTCATTAGATTCCCGCATTTAATAACTATTGTATAGATGAGAAGCCACTTTGTATCTTTTTTCATCTTTCATGCCCTCCTCTTCCTCGCTCTCTATTAGTTTGTATGTGTGTATAATTAATTCATTAGACTCTTTCCACTTCTAAAATACTTAATGGATTTCAACCACAGTGTAAAACAATATGTATTGGACATCTGCAAAAATACAGAATTATATTTATTAATTATAAGAAAGTAAAAGGCAGTTTGAAATAGGCACAGAATCAAAAAGGGTTATAATATGTGTGTTTGTGTTTTATTTTTATAATTATAATGTGTACTGAAGATGGCATTTAATTTCGTTGTACGAGGTGCAGTGACAATAAAGTAAAGTAAACTAAAGAAAAGTATATAATATTTTGCTTTATTTTTTTCACTCTACTTGGTTTTCTTGGCTTTTTTCTTTTTGTTGATACTCCTCCAATTTTATCTTCTCCATTAGCTTGGGATAATCAGTTGGGTAGAGTAAGAAAAGCAATTGTCATTGACAACTAAATCTAATGGTGTTGACTCTTCAGCATTCATGATCTACTGTCCACAAGGGGGCAGTAAGGGGTAGAGAAAGAATTAAAGATTTATTCTGTATGTTCCCTTTGTCTTTAATATAGTTCTAAAAGATTAATCTGAAGTTACTTAGTTCCCTGGCACAAATGCATAGAACTTGTGCTCTTTGAATCTCTTTTCTGTTACAATTATAAACTCTGCCTCACTTATTTTAAGTTATATTCCTGCTTACATGCACATATAGTTCAGCTTCTAAAAGTTACTTCAGTGGCTTTATCAACCTCTATTTTTAATTACTTTTCTCACTTTTGTTCCTACCTACAGATCACAAACTTTCTTTGCAACATAATGATATATTATGATATAATGATATATCTTTCTCTTCCCCCTCCCCATTCCCCCTCCCCCCTCCTCTGCCCAAGCAGCAATATCCTAGACTGCATATGTCCTTTGTTTGAAGAATGCTTTAAATCTAAAAACATTTTGCCAAAGAAGCAACAAGAAGCTACAGGCTGAACTTTGTCATGTGCTTACCACTGATCAAAACAGTTAAAAATATAACTTTTTTAAAAAAAGTTTTTAAAAATGGGTAGATTAGACAAGCTGTAGTTGGTATTTAAGCAAGATTTAGGCAGAGATCAGTGAGGGATAGATTTGGTTAATATGATTGGTGAATATGTTGACTAATATTGCTTATTTACGGTAATTAAAAATGTACATTTTTGTATACATGATAGATAGTATAATTCTGTGTCTGTAAACTTTCCTGAAAATATTTTATATTTAAAATTCAGAACAACAAGATGAGATAATAAAAAAAGCAGAAAGCAAACAACAATTTTTTTTGGCAGAACTGGAAAATACTATACATTCTTTGGAAGATACAAAGGTAGGACTTCACAATAGTTTAAGTCCAATAATACTGAATATAAATGAGAAATCCAGGATACAGTTTAAATTATTATGAATATTTCCATTTAGTAGAATCTTAATTATAAAATCATATCACTACATATAAGTTGGAAAAATATTTTTTTATTCTCTTTAGAATACTTGTAAGAATTTAGAAACTGAGTTACAAATTACAGTAAAAACATTAGCAGAAGTCACTGAACAAAAGGAATTGATTATAAGAGAATTTGAAGAAACTAGAGTTCTGCATGCATCGGTTACTGATGGGTTCCAGATTGAAGTTTCTAATTTGAAGGAGATGCTATTGAAAGAAGAAAATAGGTAAAATGGTTTTCTGTGTAAATTTTAAAAGATAGTTGTGACAAAGGGAAAACATCAACCTCCTTGTGAATAGGACACAGCAGCAAAGTATGACTGATTTCAGACTTCATCTGCTGGGCATAAAGACTGCTTGATAAAGGAGCAATTATGGAGGTTGGAGAAGATCAAGGGAGATGGCAGATATCAAAGGTTAACTAAGACAACCCTAAAGAGAAGGAGCCTGTTGAATTATCCTTAATAGGCCTGTACATACAGTACCACCTTTCTACACTTTCTGGCCGACTCAATTCACTGTCCAGCAGAGACCAGTTTCTGCTAGCTGGGAGCTCTTTCTCAGCAGGAAAGAAAAGTCATCAAAGACTACATTAATAAGAGCTGCTTATAACCCCTCCTCCAAGGCTGGGACTATTGAGACTGTTGATAAAAGCAGAACAACTATTCACTTGTTTCCACTTTTCAAGCACTTTGGATATATGTTTCTTGTAAGGCTGGCTGCTGGGTAGTTTCTACTGTGTTTCCCCGAAAATAAGACCCTGTCTTATATTGTTTTGAACCTTGAAATAAGCGCTTGGCCTTACTGCCATGCGCTCAAAAGCCCGATTGGGCTTATTAGGGGATGTCTTATTTTGGGGGAAACATCATCACTACTTTGTTCTCTTAACAGTAGGCCATATCCAAGAATTTCTCGCAGTGTTGGGAGTTCAGACCTCAACAAATCTCTTCCAGCCCCAATTAGGTTGCTCATATAAGTGAATGTTGCCAGTCTTGTTCTTTTTTTAGACGCCATTACAGATCGGTTATCACCTTCACAGGAAACGAGGCCAGCAGTATCAACACTCTCAGACAAAATAATATTTAACAAAAAGAGAAAGACAGCTGAAACTATTAAATGAAACAAACAAAATGTTAAAAAGTTATCACATTTATGTAGTTACTTACCAAGCACATCTAAATTATATTAAAGTAACCAAAATATCGTTACAATCCCCAAGACATGTCCCAACCTTTGAGCATTCCCAATGTTTGGAAATTGAAAGTTGAAAAATTTGACATACCCTACAAGTCTGCATGGCTTGTAAGTTATCAAATAAAAAGTAATTAAAATTTTAAAACATTAAAACTACACAGTTTATGATTTTAAAACTATAGTATTACATCCTTGGTCTGCAGTCACAGTCACTTTGTGATTACAGGTTACGGCCAAAGCCTCCATAGGGCCATGCAGCAGAACCCCTGGGATATTCTTTAGCTCCTTCTGAAACATGAGCAGGTCCATTTGTCACTGAGGGGTATGAGCCATTCAAATAAAATTGCTTCCCTGTGTGAGAGGGGGCATTGAAAAATCTTACAGCCACCAGTGCGTCCATGATGTGGGATAATGACAGATCTTTCACCAGATCACATTGCCATTGCTCTGACAAAATCATATCCAGAATGTAACCTCTATTCTGCATTGATCTTGGATGATCTATTCTAGATCATCCCACCCCATCAAAATGAATATTACAAACTTAAGTCTGCTTTAATAGCTAAATCCAATTGGGTATATAAAAACCTCTCCTGTGATCTCTAACTCTTAAGCTCTTTTATAGCATGTAGTAAAAGAGGTCCTACCAGTTTTGTATTCAGGTCCTCGGGGCACAGATTTTCCAAATTCTTCATACAATGAATCATAGTGAGATTACAAAATCTCACAAATGCCCCAAATGGTCCCTTCCCTATGCAGCATCCTCTCCTGGAGATATAAGTGGCCCTTGTTGCTTTTTATGTTTCCAAAAAGTCCAGAACATGTAGTGTTTTTCAGGAGGCCTGGCCCCCCTGAATGGAGATGGAGTTGATCAACTGAACTGATTGTTTTGCTGCTACCATGGGGTGTAAGAGTAGGGTTTATAGTTTTTATGTTGTGGTTTTTAATGTAAGTACATGGAGTTACCTATGTGAGCTGGCAGTCATACATTTCTTTAATAAATGAATAATAAAGTAAGGTCTAAACTGATCATAGTGTAGATTTTGCTTATATGTATGTGTGATATAGATAATAGCCTGACTCTGTGGTTTCTTCCCCAAACCCCCAAAACTTTAATCTTAGACTGTCTACTGTCGACCTCACCCCATTCCTAAGAGGTCTTTAAGGGGCGTGCATAAGTGCACCAGTGCCTACCGTCCCTGTCCTAATGTTGCCTTTTATTCATATCCATTTCATGTATTCATAATCATGTTTATACTTACATCTGTTATCTAATACATGCTTGATGAAATAAATAAATAAATAAAATAAATAATCTTTGAGTTATGAATGTATTGGAGCCTATCAATTATATTTGCAAATGAAAGGATGCTAAGTGAATCATAATAAGTGAATGAGCCCCTGCTTAATGCATTCGGTAAGTGAATGCATTGCCACAATGCATTCGGTAAATGAATGCACACGTTATTAAGTACGCATGGGATGCCTTAGGGGTGGGGAAAACCACAAGGGGCCTAGTGCAGGAACAAAACCACTGCCTGTGATGTTCCAAGGCCTCCCCTCACCCATTGAGATATTCCATGCTCCTCTTCCCACAGCTGCTTGGGCATCTCTGCACACAATCCTTAGACCTAGCCCCCATCGCTGATAGCTCACTTAACTTTCAAAGATCTCCAGACCCCAGGATTGTTCCATTGCTAGGCCACATGGCTGTCCTTTTCTGAGACACTAGAAAAACCCCTCTGTTTTTTTTTTTTTATCGTTAAATATTAGCCTTCCATTCCACAGCAAAAGCAAATGGGGAGGGAGAAAAATCAGAAAAAAGCAGCCAGAAATCTCTTCCTTTAGAAATAAGCTTCCCTTAAACATTTGACTCTGGAAGCTAACAGAAGTGCAGCTAATGGTGTTGGAGGAAAAACATGGAAGCTACCAAAAAACTTTATCTTTAGAACGAGCTTCACTTAGACGCTGGTCTCTACAAACTGACAAATGCACAGCTAATGGTTGATGGAGGGAAAGGATGAGTTTTCTGGTTGTTTCCATATTTTCCCTCCATCCACCATTAGCAAGGGACCAAAGACAAACAGGAAGGAAGGGAAATATTTGTTTCCCTTGCCATTTGCTTTTACTGTGGAATGGAACGCTAGTATCTAGTGACAAAAGAAAAACAGATTTTTCTAGCCTGTCAGAAAAAGATGGCTGCTTTTTTGCCACGTACCCTAGCAATGGAGCAGGCTGTTCTCCTTTCCTACCCTGGCATCCTGAACTCTGGAGATCTTCAAAAGGTTAGTGAGTGATCAGTGATATGGTGGAGGGGACCCAGCAGGACAGGATGGGGGAGAAATAGGCAGGAGGGGCATGCTGCAGAGTCTGTAGTCATTCATAAATGCAAATGACTGGAGGGATGCTGCAATGTTTATAACGTCGGGACTGGGTCGTAAGTACATTTTTTTTGGGTGGGGGAGTCTGTTGTAACTTTGAACTGTTGCTAAGGGACTTGTCATAACTCTAGAATTACCTGCTCTAGATTGTAATAGGAAAAACAGTTTGCTAAATATAGAATTGGAATGGTCACTTAACCACTGCTATATCTCAGCTTTATAGCCTTATTTATTTATTTATTTATTTATTTATTTCTGCCATTCAATCAGTTTTTAGTGGTTATATAATGTCTACTCAAGTTATTCATTCAGACATAATTATTTTTTCTTAAACCATTCATTGAACATTTAAAATTATTTTTATAGGCAAAAGGAATTGAGAGATGCTTCAGATGCATTAGTTTTGGAACTCCAAAATAAATCAACTGAACTAGGTATGTTGAAGGACTGGAAACAGAGGTATTGTTCTTTAGAACTACTTAAAATTGTAACTGTTAATTTTGTATATATCATTTTATTGTTCATCTTGTACCATGGTCATGCTGCATTTATTCATTAAATCAATTTATATAGCTAATCCTTTAACAAACAATTCTGGACAGCATATAAGAGCTAAAAACAATAAATACATTAAAATACTTTAAAAGTATAAAAAAAACTAAAAAATAGTAGATGAAGGAAAGTTTAAAAATAATGGAGTCATTTCATTAGTTCACCCATTTCTTGGGGTCCCCAGGCCTGCTGGCAAAACTGGGTCTTGGGAGACCTCCGGAAGTTCAACTATGTCAATCTCATCTCAGGGTGGAAAAGATTCCACCAGTGAAAGACTACAACAGAAAAGGCCTGCTTTCTAGAGCTACCTATGGGACAGATTCTGTATCATGCCCCCTCTGCTGCATCTGGTAGGACAGGCAGATGAAATAAGGGGAGGCACACAGGTAGACTTCAAGTCACAATGACAATTGGGAACAGATTTTCTGTTGCTAATGATTCTATTGTAAAGTGACACCACTTTGCTTAGTAGCAGCAATCTCTGCAATCCTGGTTATTGTTATTAACCAAATCCCACAGTTGTTAGGCAAGTTCCTGCCAACTTCTCACAGTCAAAGTCAGTGGGAAAACTGACAGGAAGTTGCAAGTCTCAGACAGGCATGTGAGCGACTGCTGTTGAGTGGAGGAGGATCATGGAGCTTCAGGGATGATATAAGGGTGTGAGGAAGAGTTGGGGAGAGTGTGAGGGGCTATGTGAGAGGTGTGGCATGGGTCAGAGAAAGTGCATAAATGTATGGGGGTACACAAGAGGCATAGTGTGAAGAAGAGTGCAAGAGACTTGGGGAGGGTGTGCAAGTAACACAGAGGAGCTGCACGGGTGGGGGAGATTTATCCCAGCAACCTGCAACCTTCCCTGCTAGCTTCTCTATTGATTTTTGCTTTTTAGCCTTTTTCTGAGCATGTTAGTTAGTTAGTTAGACTGAGCATGTTAGTTAGTTAGACTGTTAATGCAGTCACTGAAAACATTCATCTATCCATTTTTTTTTCCAAATTTTAAAGGAAGAATATGACAAAATGTAGGAGAATGTACCACTTGATTAAGGATTTTTGAAAGCTCTGACTTATTCTGGGTTTCTTGGAAATATCTGACTCTTCAGATTTCTGTTACTGTTTCAGATCTATGTATCCATTTGTACATCCAGCCATCCAGCCTTTTGTTTTGATCCTGCTCACATTTTGTCTTGGATAGACCCAGTTTTTATGTAGATCCTCAGCACATTATACTTGTCTGGATATAGTCCTTGACCAAAAAGAAACAAATGGTTATACATCTATCTAAGAATGAATAAAAATTAAAAAATAATTACATGTAATTTCATAATTGAAAATATTACATTATATTCTTAATGTTTGACTTAATTGCAGAAATGATGACCAACCTGAAAAATGATAAAGAAAAGCAAATTGAAGAATTGGAACCAGTCTTAGTAAGGGATTTCTAATATTTTTTGATTCCACTAGCTGACATTCTTACATCTTTCATTTATTGAGGATAATGTCTTAAAAACTTCTATTCAATTTTTTAAAATCACAAACTATTAAGGGCTGATATTAAAGGGTTCTGAAATGAAATTAGATGCTCAGGCAATCCATATAGGTAGAAAGTGTTGTTTGTTTGTTTGTTTGTTTGTTTGTTCAACTTGTATGCTGCCTTTCTCCGAAGACTCAAGAAAAAGTCAAGAAGTCTCTAGAAAGAGACTTGCCATCTCCTTTGAATGAAATAAAACATCATGGTGAGAGTTTCCAGTCCCACCAATGTAGTAGTTGCCTTTTTTGACAGAGGTAGTTCAGTGATGAAATTAAGGTGCATGGCTTGCCAGAGCCTTTCTGGTGTCTAAAGGTTCCCCAGTTGGGTTTCCTGGAACACCCTTGGATTGGCAGAAAACAGGGTAGGAAGTGACATATTGCTCCACCTACATCTGGAGATATGATTACCAAAAATCTCAACTCATCAAATGCAGAGTGCCCCACCAGTGGGCTATCAAGGCACATCTCTCAGGGCCGTATTCTGCAAAGGCTAAGTGGGAATGTAATGTCAGCCTTGATAGAGTAAGAGGTTTTGGTTCAATGTCCAATGTTGTGGGGATTTAGTGGGTGTTTCTTCAATTTCCCTCTGATGAGCCTGTGCATATTAGTGTAGACATTGCTGTTCTTTTAATTCTCCCAGTAGATTTATTGGAACATTGGTAGCATCTACATTTTCTGGAAGTATGAAAGTGGCAGTTTGGGAGTCAGTCTCAGAGCATTCATATTCTGATTTCCTGGAGAGGTCTTAAGTTAAAGCAAGAAAAGAACAAAGAATCAGATTTGTCTTTGATTCAGTTTCCTGGCAATCTGAAAAAGTTCAAGGTTCTAATGATAAGTACAGACTTTCACTGATGTTTAGTCCTTTTTAGCAGATGTTTCCAGGCTTCAAAGGCAGCTTTAACTGCTAGCAGTTCCTTGCCCCAGATGGTATAGTTTTTTCCTCAGTTGTGTTACGTTTGAGAACAATACCTACAGTGGAATAGACTGTAGGAGGGTCAGTTTGTCTAGAACTATACCCTCCCAAGGCTACATTAGTCTGTACAACAGAAGGCCTTACTGGATCTGGATAATGAAGAATGGGCTGAGAAACAAATGGAGGCATACATGGTTTTTTTGAGTTATTTCAAGATTATTGGATTGGCAGAAAATAAGAAATTGCTCTCCTTTATTTCAGTTCCTTAGACCATACATTTCAATGACATTTTTCTCCTTAATATTTCCAACTTGAACATTCCAATCTCCACTACAAGCATGCTTCCACATTCTGTCAGTTTCAATTTGGCCATAAATTCATCAATCTCTTCTGCATCAGTAATTGGAGCAAAACTTTGAATATCATCATATTGAAGGGTTATCCATGAAGTCTAACTAATATTGTTCAATCACTGTTCGTATTATAGCTAACTAGTGTTCTTGCTGTACTCTTCATAATTATAAAAGCAATGCCATTCCTTCTTTGTTTTTGATATCCTGGATAGTAAACAACGTTATGTTCTGACTGAAAATGTCTATTCCCAATTTATCTCAATTCACTGATACTGAAGATGTCAGTTTGCAGATATTTGATTTTATTTTTCACTCTATCAAGAAGGGGTGTCAAACTTGCAGGCCATGGGCTGGATGCGTTATGTGCTGGCCACACCCACGCCTGGTTTAGCGAAGGGGAAAAAAAGTCACAATATGTTACGTGACGATGTGAGTTTGACACCCCTGCTATAGAGCTTTCCCATGTTCATATTTTTTAATTTTATGTTCTCACTGTAATATGCTAATAATCTGCTTCTTTGACATTTCCTTGCCTGGAGGGCAATATCAACAGCTAGACATCCCAAAAGCTTTAATCTAGCCACATCGTAACAAAAAGATCCTTATCTCTTTCTCAATAGTATGTTTATTCATTTAATTTCTATAGCAGCCCATTTTAGCCAAATGATTTTGGGAAGGTTATAATTCTAAAACTATAAAACAGTTAAAACAATTAAAAACAATGAAGTAATATACTGGGTTGAGTGCCATCTTCCCTGTGGGGCACATCATGTGGCATTATATCATTTATTATTTTGTATTTTCTATCCATGAGGTTTTCTTGGTAAAATACAGAAGTGGTTTACCATTGCCTTCTCCTGCACAGTATGAAATGATGCCTTTGTTATCACTAAAGTGATTTCTACCTCCAGCATTTTATATTGCTACTGCCCAGGTATCTCTTTGCTTTAGCTGGGATGATCTTTATACCTTGGATGACTCTGCCATGTTTACATACATATTGGCATACTATGGTGGAATCTGGTGCTGAGTTGCAAGAGGAAGGGTTTTTTCCCCTTAATTCATTCTTTGTATCTGTCTTCGTATAAAAAGATAAAACAGATCAACCTTCCAAAAACATAACTGCAAAAGACAGACTAAGAATACAATTTAAAATAAGCAAGAAAATTACTCGTCCATTCTAGACGAGTTCAAATCACAGGGACCTGATGGATTAGATCCCAGATTTCTGAAGAAGTTGGCAGATGTGATCTTGGGACCATTAAACTATATATTTCAAAGATCCTGGAGCATCGGGGAACTATCAGCGGACTGGAAAAGAGCTGATGTGGTTCCCATTTTCAAAAAAAGAAGCGGGGGGAAACAGATCTAGGAAACTACAGACCAATCAGCCTGACATCAATACCTGGGAAGACCCTGGAAAAGATAAACAACAGATCTGCAAACATCTAGAAGCAAGCAAAGTGACAACAAAAACCAAACACAGGCTTGTCAAAAACAGATCATGCCAAACAAATCTTATTTCATTCTTGACAAAGTAATTAAATTAGTAGATCCAGATGGATATTGACACTTGAACACTGGGCCTTATCTAACAAAATGAAATTCAATGTAGAGAAAAGTAAGATTTTACATCTAGGCAGTGGTGGGTTTCAACCGGTGTTACCACCGGTTTGCTTTGTGCACACGCTTTGCACCAAACGTGCCCTTTGCACAAGCACATTGAATTTCAGAACAGCTGAGGCATGGCAATTTGCTCTGCCACGCCTATCAGCTGGGCAAAAAATGAACCAATATAGGTAGGTACAGCGCAGGGGCGGGTGGGAGGGCCCAGTTGATAGTCGCAGCGAACCAGTTCGCTATCGACTCACCATCGCCACTACCGGATCCCTGAACCAGGGAGAACCGGTAACAATCCACCACTGCACCTAGGCAAGAAAAATCAAATGTACAGGTACAGATTAGGTGAAACCTGGCTCAATGCTAGTAACTATGACGGGGATCTTCGAGCCCTAATGGACAATTACTTAAATATGAGCCAGCAGCATGCGGCAACAGCCAAAAAAGCCAATGTAATTCTAGGTTGCATTAACAGAGGGATAGAATCAAGATCATATGAAGTATTTGTAGTGCTTTATAAAGCCTTAGTAAGACAACACTGAGAATACTGCATTTAGTTTTGATATTATAAAAAAGATGTTGAGACTCTGGAAACAGTGCAGAAAAGAGCAACAAAGGTGATTAGGGGGCTGGAGGCTAAAACAAAGAATGGTTGCAGGAATTGGGTATGTCTACGCTAGTGAGATTAGATAACCATTTGTCTGAAATAGTATAGGGTTTTCTGCCTAAGCATGGGGTTGGACTAGAAGACCTACAAGGTCCCTTCCAATTCTCTTATCCTATCCTATCCTATCCTATCCTATCCTATCCTATCCTATCCTATTGAAAAGGACTGGGGTGACATGATGATAGTGTTCCAATATTTGAGGGACTGCCACAAAGAAGAGCGGGCCAATCTATTTTCCAAAGTACCAGAAGGCAAGACAATGGATGGAAAGAAGCAACCTAGAACTAAGAAATTTCCTAACAGAACAATTAACCAGTGGAGTAGCTTGCCCTCAGAAGTTGTGGGTGCTCTACCACTGGAGGCTTTTATAAAGAGACTGGACAGCCATTTGTCTGGAATATATAGGGTCTCCTGCTTGAGCAGTGGGTTGGACTAGAAACCTCCAAGGTCCCTTCCAACTCTTATTCTGTTACCCAAGGAGGTAAGAGCCAAATCAGCCTTGAGTCCTTGTTATGCAGAAAGAGGTCCAGGAGGGATCCTCCCTAAACTTCACAGGATATGTCTGAGAGTTATGCAGAATGTGTTTTAATCTGGCAAGCAAACGGAAATAAAGAAATTAAGCTGAATAGTTTATTGTGCTGTTCTTGGTTCCTTGCACCTGACACATACTCTCTTAAGGTTCTTCATTCATCTCTCTCAGGAATACACACGCCCAATGATGTGGCAGCAAAGTAGGACTTGGGAGGGAGGGCTTACAATGTCTAAAGAAATAGAATAGTTGTCACAGTAATAAAATGAAACTTTATTCATATTGTGCCAATTTTTAATTTACTTTAATTTTTGAATAGGTACAAGTCCAAGAATTTTTACATGAAAAACAAATTCTTGAACAGACCATTGAGAAATTACAAGAAAGAGAAAGAGAGTTAACGGACACTCTTCAGACAAGAGAGGTATTGTAAGTTCTGATAGATTTTGATATTTACATATAGTATAATTATTACAAAAACATAGCTTAAAATATCTTCCTGTTTAAAATAATCATATACTTGACCCTTCATCAACCTCTTGAATAGCAGAAAAGTTGAAGCTGCATGCATTTCTCTCTTTATGACTATCTGCATCTACTCAGTGAGTGGTGCTTTAATATTTTTATGTAACAGCTACATGTCATTGTCAGGTTTTTAGAAATGGCAAAGTATGCAGGATTTTTAATGTACAATTCTCCCATATATGACCAATAATTGTTTTTACTGTTCATAATAATATTATGATTATCTATCCTGAAGGTAGAACAAGAAGCAATGGGTGGAAACTAATCAAGAGAAGCAACTTAGAATTAATGAGAAATTTCCTGACAGTTAGAACAATTAATCAGTGGAACAACTTACCTCCAGAAGTTGTAAATGCTTCAACACTGGAAGTTTTAAGAGATTAGATAACCATTTGTCTGAAGTGGTGTAGGGTTTCCTACCTACAGGGGGTTGGAGTAGAAGACGTCTAAGGTTCCTTCCAACTCTGTTATTCTGTTCTGTTCTGTTCTATTCTATTCTATTCTATTCTGTCAGAAAGAAAAAAATTACTGCACAATTTCATATAGGAACCATCTATCTGGAAGCAGATAGTGATACACATATCATGTCCAAAGCTTTAATAGCTAAATTAATTGCAGACAGGCCACCATTTAAGTTTTTATTAGGAAACACAAAATATTTATGTTCAGGCAGTCTTTGCTTAATGACTGCCCTGCTATATGAGGTTATAACAGTGATGAAAAAGTAATTTTATGACCAGTTCTCATACTTACTACCATTGCAGTGTCCCCGTAATCACGAGGTCAATATGTCGGTACTTCACAATTGGCAGGTATTTAAGAATTACAGTGTCCTCAGTCACATTATCCCAATTTGTGCACTTCATAGCCAGCTTCCAACAAGGAGAGTAAATGGTGAAGGCCGAAGTAAAATCACAATAACACAATACTCACTAAACAACTGCAAGTGAATCACTTAACCAGAGTAGAATGAAGTCATTAGCCCACTTTATTCATATGATGTATTGCTTAATGACTGTCACCTAGCCAGGGAGTTGTGGTTACTAAGTGAGGACTATCTGTAAGTGGCTATTTGTGGCAGTTTAAAGACTTATTTTATTTATGTTTGTAATACGACCAGTTAGAACACATAACTGTGACTAGAATTTTGGTTGTAAGTCATGGTTGTAAGTCGAGGCACCATGTGATCAAACTTGATTTTATGTCAGGTTTTGTGATGATTGTTAGCAGTTGCTAAGTGAACCACATGGTTGTTAAATGAACCACGTGGTCATAAAGGCAAACACATTTTAACCAATGGGGTTTTTTTAAACCAGAAAATGCCAAAAAAGTTATATTGTTTAGTATGCTAATGATGTTATTGTAAATGGTATGTTGTAAAAATACATTCATGCATTAATTGTTACCTGTAGAAAGAAAGACATGATTTGGAAATGCAATTGTCTGATGAATTTGAAAATAAACAAAATTGTTTTCAACAACTTGCAACAGTGAAAGCAGAGCTTGAAAAAGAAATGTATGTATTTATATTAATATATGGTTAGCATGCTATTAGTTATGAAAGGCTTTTATAATTGGTTTACTTTTAATATATAAAGAGGACTTCCTGAAATATTAATTCACATTTTTTTTACATTGTTTTTATTATAAATGTGCTTGGTTGCAGCTTAGCTTCTTCCCTAGGTATATTTTGAGATCACCCAGATCCATTCTACTTAGAATTGCTACTGTTTGATTTGTGATTTTATTTCACCAAACATGTCTAAGGTCGGTTGTTTTTGTTTTTTGTGATTTGTAAAGCATGCCATACATTGGCAATATCAGTTTTACGGGGTTTTTATTTGCAAACTCAGAATGTGAATGCTTTTTGTTTCTAAATTGGTCAGTGACCATAATAAAATTTACTACTATTATTACTCGTACAATTTTAAAATGGCATTATTTGATGAATATTTTATTTCAGTACATATAATACATATAGATGTGTACATATAGTAAACATCTATATACATAGTATAGTACATATAGATGTGGTCTTAGTATGAAACTTGTCAATTTATAAAGTATTTGTAGTGGGTTTTATGTTAAGTGCCATTAAATTGCTAATGGGATCAAAGTTCCTTAGCTGGTCTTATACGTTAGGTCTGCTTGTTAGATCTTATCATATAATGTTATAGAGTAGTTTAAAAATATATATGAAAATATAAATAATTGTTTCTAGTTTTATTATTTTTACAGTCTAAAGAATAAAGAGTTAAATATGGAGTGGAACAAAATTTTATTTGAGAAAGAACAAATTATAACAGAGAAAAAGATGGTGGATGATGAACTTCAAAAATGTAAAGATACTATTAAGGCAAGTTCCTGACTACATTTTTTTAACTAAACTGTCTACATATAGATTTTTTGTGTGCCAATAATTGTTTTTACTTTCAAAACTAAATTATAATTGTATGCTTCCAGTGCATCTTACTATGCCTTCACTGTTCTCTAAGATGCATAAGAATAGAACTTAAATGACTTTTTTTTATTAAAAAAGCTGAAAGTGGTTCTGAGTGAACTTTCTATTTCTTTTTTTTCTATTCACTCAATTCTTAGAGACTGCCTGGAGAAGTCCATACAGTTTTCTTGCGAGGTTTTTCAGAAGTGGTTTTCATTGCTTCCTTCCTAGGGCTAAGAGAAAATAATTGGCTCAAGGTCACCCATCTGGTTTTGTGCCCAAGGCAGGAGTAAAACTCATGGTCTCCCAGGTTCTAGACTGATGCTTTAATCACTACATGAAACTGGTTCATGAAAGTTATATAAGTGACTATGCAATATTTATAGTATATGTACTTAATTTATACCAGTTTTGAATTTTCTACATTCAGTTGCTTGTCTTTTTGTTTAGAATGTTAAAAATACAGATGAAGAAACCAAAAATCAGATAGACATTTTAAAGCAAGCTAACCTCCTCTTAAGGTAAGATAAGGTAAGGTAAGTTTACTGTGATATGTTCATTAAAATTTAAATTTCAAGTTATTACATGTTGTTCTTTATGTAATATGGTTCTTTCTAACTCTAGTTTTACTAACATATCATCAGATATAAGACAAAAACAAAACAAAACAAAAAACCATGGGATGCTTTATCATTTTCTTACCAAAAGCTGTTCCAGGACTTTATTTGGAGTATTGAACCAAATGTTACTTTCCTAAAGATTGTATTTTATTTGATTAACCACTTAAATCAAAACGTTTTTTCTCTGTTACAGTTTATTTGGAAGTAAATATGTCCTGGTGGATGTTTGCTCCTTATAACCCCAATTTTTATTAGGATAGATCTTCACAATTTGGATATAGCAGTGCATCTTTTTGGCATATATCCTAAACAGTTCACTAGCATCTCTAACTGACAAAAGTAGTTGTTCACTTCAAACATGCAATAGATAAGGGGGCAGATTACAAAAGGTAATTATTCTATACAGATATGTGCAAGAATGGATTACACAATAGATCAGTGTTTCCCAAACTTGACCCTTTGAAGATGTATGGACTTCAACTCCCAGAATTCCTCAACCAGATATACTGGTTGGGGAATTCTGGGAATTGAAGTCCATGCATCTTAAAATAGCCAAGTTTGGGAAACACTGCAATAGATCATAATCTAATATTGGATATGTATGAAGATTTCAATTTCTACATGAATTTAGCAATGTCTTTATTATAAGTATTTTATAGGTGCATGGAAGTAATTGCATTCATTAATTTTTGTTATATAGCAATGAATTAGAGGAAGTAACGGAGGAACTAAAACAAAAGGATGAAGAAGCAAAAAACAAAGTTGATGAAAATGAAGAAAATGTATGAATTCACACTGATTAACATAAAAATAATATATGCAAGTTATAAAAAGTAGCATGTAATATGTGATGTTTTGCAAGGAATGAATGTCTAAAGATACGAAAATAGCTGCAGAAAAGCAAATTTCTAGTCCCTTTTTTATATTGATGTGAATTAGGAATATATCATGAAAATTGTAAAAATAATCTGGTGTAGTGGGAATGGGATATTAAAAAGTATATGTAGAAAAACATGTAGAAATGGGGTCAAGACTGTATAAGTGATGTAAGAATATGGTCTGAGTACAAAGATTAATTATCAGTACAACAAATTCCATTGAAATAATTGGTTCTACATTCAGTTATGTTTGGTATAGCTTCTGAGAAACAACATGGAGAATTAACGTATTTTGAATTTGTCATATAGATATTTTTATTTGTTTAATTCAGAAGGATTTATTACAAATGTGGAGCTTTGATCACATTTAAAAAAGCATCATAGTTTAGAAACTACCAACATTATTATTACTTAGGGATTCATGAATCAAATGAGCAACAAATGTTTATGCAACAATTAATGTATTAGTCCCTCAAATGCCATCAGAAAATGAAAAAAGAAATACCTGCCTATGTTAATTTTTTTTCATAGTTCTAAATAGAATTTAATGAAATTAGTAATGAATTTTATAATACATCTGTCATTATTTATAATATATTTCTAGATTAGAAATATTGAAAATGAAATTTCAAAAAAGGAAAAACAACTGAAAACATTAGAAAACAAGGTATGAAAATGTAAAAAAACAACCTATCAGGCTTAATAGGAACTTTGATATTTATCCATTTTTTGAAATGCTTCAGGATTCAGAAACAATCTTTCTATCAAATAGAAATGTATTAATTCTAATCACTGAAAATGTTTATTGCAACTTTTGTTTTTCTATGCATTTAATACTTGTAATCAAAAGTAATAAATGAGTATGCATCTATAACTCATATATCCTCCTTTATTTTGGATAAGTATTTGTGCATATGTTTACATTGCATTTAATCTCAATGAATGGTTTGGTTTTTATACTGAAGATAAAACAATTATCAGAGCTGCAGTAATAGCAAGTTTTGAATAAGCCATAATCAGAAGAAATATTTCAAATCAGCTATCCAAATAATAGGATTATATCTAGAATAATTATGTGATATATTATTACTGTTTGAAATATGTGTTATTGTGCTATTTAGGTTAATAGTTTAAAGAAGCAGATTGAAATGAAAATCAAGAATATTGAAGTACTACAACAAGAAGTAAGTACTGATATATTTCATGCATAAAACATAGCATATACCGTATCTATTAAATTTTTCATTAAATTTGTCCTATTAAATTGTCAGTGGAATATGGTAATTCAAAATATTACCTCAGTTCACATAGGTAGCTTAAAGTTCACTCTATAAATTCTGGCTTTATATGGAACTGGTCACTAAAAAGATCCTTCCCCCTTTTAGAAACAAAATATAAGTGGGAATAAAGTAGAGTGATATTTGTATTAAATACCTATAAAATGCGTGTGCTATATTTGCGTCCAATAATGCTTTTTTTCTCTTTACACTTTCAACTATTCCACTTGTAGGGAAAATGATATTTCAGGCCATGGTATATAATGATTACGTTACTGCAATGCAATGACAATACATTTGATCTAGATTTAATCTAGATTCCATTAATACCAAGCAAAAGATTTATACAAACATAATTGAATAATAGGATCTGAAGATAACAAGGATTAGGGTTAGGGTTAGGATACCATCTTGTGATTGCTGATTGCTTCTTAAAGGAGCTACACCTTTTCATGGGCTCACATGATGTTGGGCAGACTTGAAAATACATATTTGAGTTAAGGAATTATAGTTATAATTGCAGAAATGTTGGTATATAATTAAATATGCAAATAAAGTCTTCATTAATAATTGTTACTAGAATAAAAGCTTGAAAAAGAAACTTGGATCAGAAAGCAAGCAACTGACTATTACTGAAGGAAAGGTAGGCATGTTTATTTTTTGCATTAGTAACAAAGTTGTAAGAAGTAATACAAATTTGAGGAATTAGATCTGTAAGGTATGATACATAGTGGCATTTAACAAAAGCATTTATGAATTACTTTTTTTACTACTATGGCCTTCTGAGGGATACGCAGTTTGAACAATATAGTAATAGACTAAAGGAATAAAAGCTTTTAAGACATCTGAAAATAATTATTTGACTTCAATTTTCCAACTTAATACAATTCTGCTGACATTAGTTTTGGTATGGAGTGTCAAATATATATATATATATATATATATATATATATATATATAAATTTGATTTATATGCCGCCCTTCTCCGGAGACTCAGGGCGGCTTACAATGCGCTAAGCAATAGCCTTCATTCTTTTGTATATTTATACAAAGTCAGCTTATTGCCCCCACAACTGGGTCCTCAATTTACGTACCTTAGAAAGGATGGAAGGCTGAGTCAACCTTGAGCCTTGGTGAGATTTGAACCTGCAGTAATTGCAGGCAGCTGGTCTTAATAACAGGGTGCCTTAGATCACTGTACTACCAAGGCTCATTACCTATTGTCATGCCTATAGGGCCATGTTGGCGAACCTATGGCACGCATGCTGGAAGTGGCACGCAGAGTCATTTCTCTGGGCACGCGGAGCCATCACCCATTGTTCTTCTGGGTTCCGGTACGCCGGCCATCTGGTTTTCATGTGCATGGGCATGCTGGAAATTGTAAGAGCAGCTGCCCATTGCACATGTGCACTCCAGGAAAACGATCTTCCTGTTTCCAGAGTGCGCATGCACACTGGCCAGCTGGTCTGGTTTCTGGCACGCATGCGCACGCGGCTTGCCTCTCCCCCTCCTTCTTCTTGCCAGCCCTGAGCGGCCAAGGGAAGCACCGGATGGCTATTTTAAAAGGGGCGGGAGTGGTTTATGCAAGCTGCAGGATAAGTGCATTGCATTTCAGGCGGCGGCTGGTCCCAGCCTGTGCTGCCGCCCGAAAATTCTGTATCAGATCATTTGTTTAGTTTATTAGCTTCTCCAGATTTTTTCATTCAATCTCCGGCTTCTGAAACCTCCCCAAAGGTCCCTCCAAGCGGCCCTCGCAAACTCCCCCCGCGGTCCTGGAGCTGCCTCAGGAGAGAGCGCAGCGTGGCCGGGGTCCTGGCGCTCCCTTGCTGGGTCCCTCAGAGCGCAGCAAGGTGGAAACCCTGGATCTGCCGGCAGCATGGATGATTCCACGCTGGAGGTGACGCGAGGCTGGGCTCCAGGGGATTATAAATGCTTCACTGGGCAAGGGTGTCTTTCCTGCCTCCTTGAAAGAGGCGGTGGTGAGACCTCTCCTCAAGAAGCCTTCCCCGGACCCGGCAATATTGGCTAATTATCTTCCAGTCTCCAACCTTTGCTTTGTGGCAAAGGTTGTCGAGAGTGTGGTTGCGCGACAGCTCCCCCAGTACCTGGATGAAACGACGTATCTAGATCCGCTCCAGTCGGGCTTCAGGCCTGGGTACAGCACAGAAATGGCATTGGTCGCGTTGGTGGATGATCTCTGGAGGGCTCGGGACAGGGGGTGCTCCTCTGTCCTGGTCCTGTTAGATCTCTCAGTGGCTTTTGATACCATCGACCATGGTATCATGCTGCACCGGTTGGAAGAGTACGGTGGGAGGCACCGTACTACGGTGGTTCTCCTCCTTTCTCTCCGACCGGTCACAGTCTGTGTTGACAGGGGGGCAGAGGTTGACCCTGAGGCCCCTTATATGTGGGGTGCCGCAAGGATTGGTCCTCTCGCCCCTTTTGTTCAACATTTATGTAAAGCCGCTGGGTGAGATCATCCGTGGTTTCGGGGTGGAGTACCACCAGTACGCTGACGACACCCAGCTGTACATCTCCACCCCAGACCACCCCAACGATGCCCTTGAAGTGATGTCCTGGTGCCTGGAGGCCGTACGGATCTGGATGGGGAGAAACAGGCTCAGGCTCAACCCGTCCAAGACCGAGTGGCTGTGGTTTCCGACGTCCCGATATAGTCAGCTGGTGCCATCGCTGACTATTGGGGGCGAATCATTGACCCCCACAGAAAGGGCTCGCAACTTGGGTGTCCTCCTGGATTCACGGCTGTCTTTAGAAGAGCACTTGACGGCCGTGACCAGGAGGATCAGGTTCGCCTGATCCGCCAGTTGCGTCCCTTTCTAGATCGGGACTCCCTACGCACGGTCACTCATGCCCTCGTCACCTCCCGTCTGGACTATTGTAACGCTCTCTACATGGGGCTCCCCTTGAGGAGCACTCAGAGGCTCCAACTGGCGCAGAGTGCGGCCGCGCGGGTGGCAATGGGAGCGACGTGGCGCTCCCATGTAACACCTCTCCTGCGCGAGCTGCACTGGCTCCCGGTGGTCTTCCGAATGCGCTTCAAGGTTTTGGTTATCACCTTTAGAGCGCTCCATGGCTTAGGACCTGGTTACTTACGGGACCGCCTGCTACCACCAATAGCCTCCCACCGACCAGTACGCTCCCATAGGACAATGTCGACTGGCGGCCCCCAGGGGGAGAGCCTTCTCTGTGGGGGCACCTACTATCTGAAACGAGTTTCCCCCAGAGATATGGAGGATTCCGGATCTGCGTATCTTCTGTTGTGCGCTAAGATGTTCTTATTTCATCAAGCTGGCCTGACCTAAGTTTTTCCCCTTTTTAAATGGAAATTTTAAATTTGGTTTTAAATTATTGGGACTTTAAATTTTCAGCCAAATTATTTAATTCGTTTTAATCTATTTTAAATTTTGTATTTATATGTTTTATTCTATGGCTGCTCACCGCCCTGAGTCCTTCGGGAGTAGGGCGGTATACAAATTCAAAATAAAATAAAATAAATAAAATAAAAAATAAAATATTCCCACTTGCGGCGATTGCAGGCACCGAGCCCGATGGTGGGAGGGGTGGCCAGGGGGAAAGGCGCCGAATGGGGTGGGGGGGACGGGACGGCCGGTGCAGCCACAACTCTAGCTCCTTCAGTCGCGGGTTGCAGGCACTCTTTGGAACAGGGCTCTCCAACCTTGGCAACCTTAAGATTTGTGGACTTTGAGAACTCCCAAAGTTCTCAAAGTTGCCAAGGTTAGAGAGCCCAGTCCTGCCTTGGAAAGGCCTGTCGTAAGGCAGGGAGGAGGGTTCGACTCTCCTGAGCCTCCACTCCCACAAGGCGCATTTACAGCTCGGGGGCGGAATTGCAGTTCTGTTTGCGCCATTCATTGCAAGCCTCAGCCACCCACCAACCGGAGAAGGCGGGTGGGTCTGGCTGGCAGCAACCGCAGCCTCGCGTGTTTCCCCGCACTCCCCTCTAACTGGGGGAGCAGCGTGGGCAAAAGGTCTCTGCTGGGATGGATGAATGGGGTGCTGCCGTGTTGGCAGGCAGGGCTGAGAGCGCTGCCGCCGGCTTGGGAACCGCTGTCTCGCCAGGGTAACTGGTTGTCCTCTGGTAAGAGGCGCGCAGGCCCTCTTGGAAAAAGTGGGGGCGCATGCGTGGCGGGCACACACATGCGCAGTGGAGGTTGCATATGTGCATGTGCAGTGAGGTGCATGCGCATTAGGAGCATGGTGGGGGGGTCATGTGTGCATCCGCAAATGGGGCCATCCGTTGCATTATGGGTGCTGGCACACGAGAGCGAGCAAGAGCTCTCGCGCTCGGACTTTTGGCACGCAACGCCAAAAAGGTTTGCCATCACTGCTATAGGGCATCTGTCAGAACCCTGATATCTATTTGGGCATATATTTTTCAAAATTGATTCAGAAGTATTTAAATGTTACTCAGGATAATGCTTCTCTGCTATTACTTAAAACAGCTCCTCTTTTTTTTAGATCTCTGTGAGAGATTCTAAAAAGGTGTTGTTACTTGAAAGTCACATTAATATTACAGAATTAATTTCTTAAAACAAGAAACTGAAAAAGTGGAAATGCTTAACTGAAAAGCAGAGACTAGTTGACCTTTAGTGAGGTCTGAAGTAATTCTTAATATTTTTTAAAGTAGGCACATTTGAAAATTTCATTAAATTCTGTTCTGCCCCAGCTCCGGATTCCCAAGGATTGTGACACACACCAACGGTCCTTATCAAAGTTATAACATACCAAGAATAAACAAAGTCCTGTAAAGGTTGGCAACCAGCCCAGAAAACAAGATACGATAAGACACTCACTCTCCAACATGCTCTGTAATAATTACACGTTGTTTCCAGCAAGAAATTACTAACTGCGTGCGACTTAAATAGGCTAAGGGAGTGGCCAATTATCCTCAAACCTTACTCTCGAGGAGACCTCCTCCTCCTGAGTAGTCATTCCTCCCTTTTGGCAGCCCTGCATGCTCGAACATTGAGGAGAGGCTCCTCCCCTTCGCTCTCTCCACTTGAAGGAGCCTCTGGAGGTTCTGAAGGCCCTGGCTGAGTCTTGGCCTCTGGCACCACATCCTCTTCAGCCTCCTCGCTGTCCGACGCGAGAGCCAGCCTCGCAGACTGCTGGCGCGATCACACACCAGCTCCCTCGTTGTCGGGATCAGCCACGATCCGCACAGGCTGCTGGCGGACCACAACAAATTCACTTTTGTTTCCATTGATTTCGTGTCCATTTTAATTCCTGAACTATGTTGAGATCCCATTTGGAAATAGTTAAGATTACCATATTTGGGTTGCAAAAATCTAGAAAACTTAAACAATTAGAAATATGGTTCACTGCAAGGAAAATGCAGAAGCAGAATTCATAGAGAAATGTACGAAAAATTGATAGGAAGTAAATGATGTTGTTTGGACATATCCCTTGGTCATTATGAATAGGAATAAACTTGTTTTTCATTTTTGTTGTTCAAGGTGAATAATTTGCAATTAGAGTTGGAAAACACAAATAGGTTATACAAAGAAACAAGTGACAACTATAAAAATGAAATTGAGATGTCTAAGACAAATGAAAAAAGACTTCTTAAGGAGGTGAGAATTGATGTTTTTGGTATTTTGTAGAACTGCACATTTACATTGACATAATTGTATACAGTATTTCATTGTATGGTTTGTGATTTATGAGTTATTTACAGGTTGACTATTTGATAATTTTGATTTGTCTTCAGAATGTTCTCAGGAAACAAGATGTAAAAGATTGATATGGGTTGAGAGAAGAAATATTATATCTCATCTTTAGAACTAACTTTAGAAGCAAATTCCTAAAAGTTTGGGAAAAGGGGGGGGGAGCTGAAACACATTCAAAATGATATATAGACACTCATCCCAGAGAAAGAAGCAATGAATGCCACTTTAATCCAATAACAGCAAAAAACCTTAGCTTAGATCTTTGTCTCTCTTCCATCCCTATAGACTCATGGCCATAACTAGAACATTGTAGTTTTAAACTTTAACTGAAACACTGGATAGCCTCAAAGTTGTAATAATGAGGGCAAGAATAAATGCATTTTTCTCACACCTACAGATTGATAGAGGACAAAATAAATCTCTTTTAGGCTTCCCCTTGGAAACAAAGGTAACTTGTATTGACAATTTCAATACAAATTTTAGCTTATATTGCTTATAAAATATAGTAAGGTATAGTGTAAGGCAAAATAAGATAATATATTAAATAATGAGTTCATACAAACAATGAAAAGGGAGTAATATTACAAACAGTTAGACTACAACTGCAAAAAACAAAACTAACCTTACACATGCATCAGATGCTTTCTTCCCAAAGGATGATGCCTGATTTTAAGTTCAATAGAGTAAAAGGCATTTGGATAACCTCATTTTAAAAATAATAAGAACAAAAATCTCTTAATTGAGAACAATAAATATTCCTGTTATTTTGCCCTTCTGTTTACCAAAGATACAGATTGAAAATCAGGAAAAAAGTTAGTGCAGTACAGTGAAAAAGTTAATAAAATAGAATAGAGGCTATCTTATTATCTCTGGAATGGAGGCCTTTCTTGCACTAAGTTACATTGGATAATTTTGCTTTGTACCTGGCCTTTTCTCTTTAGGGCTAGTTGTTGAGACGGTGGTCTACTTCAGCTGCAGGGTGCCCTAGAGGAAATGAATTACCTGGATTCTTAGGATTCAGGCACCAAAATGGGATTGAGGCAGTATTGGTTGCTTTGATGGATGAGATTTATTGGGCCTGGCTAGGAGCACTATTTATAGATCATATTAAATCTGATGATGGCATTTGATTCTCTTGGCCATGTATCCTACTGATATACCTCTGAAAATTGGGGGAGGTATATTTTAAGTGGTTCAACTTCTGCATTAGAAAGAGGTTCTAGATAATTGTTGGGGAAGAGTGGGCTGCTTCTTGGGCAGTCCCTTATGGCAGGGTTCACCAACCCCTGGTCCATGGACCGGCACCAGTCTGCGGCTTGCCAGAAACCAGGCCTCGCAAACAAGCGAAGCCCCACAGGATGCAGGCAGCATACAAACCCACATCCCCTCCAATCCACGGAAAAATCTTTCTCCACAGAACTGGTCCTTGGTACCCAAAAGATTGAGGACCACTGCCTTATGGGCTCTCCCAAGTATCTATTTTTTCAACTCTGTTGTTTACTGTCAATATGAAACGGTTGGATAAGGACATCTCAGTTTGGGGTGACACATCACTAGTACATTGATGATACTCGATAGTAAATCTGTAAGTTGAACTAAAAAGCTGTCAAGATATTGATTATCTGTACCCCGATGGCACTGAGCATCTGGAGAGGGTGAAACAAGATGAGGTTGAACTTAAACAACACAAAATTGCTCTTTGTTTGGAAGCCATCTAGTTCTTGGTTCCATTTTTAAGTCTGAATGGGGAGCCACTCCTGAAGAAACAGCTTTGTGATACACCTTCCTAGACTCATAACTTTTAGTGGCTGGGCAGGTGGAGGTTGTGATCAGGAGGACCTTTGTCAGCATCAGTTTGTAATAGTAACTCATATCGTCATCACCTTTGCAGTGCACTTTGCATAGGAGAACATTTCAATACAAGCTACAATTGCTACAGGATACAGCAGTTCTTAGGCTGAGAAGTCCAAGAACACTATCACATTAGACTCATACTTCCAAGTGTCATCCAATATTGGTTTTGACCTCTAAAGCCCTTAATGGCTTGGTTCCTAAATTCTTGTAGAACCGTTTTTTAATGAGTAAAAATGTATGGGAATGGCATAATGGGAATGGCATAATGATTGGAATAATTGGTACTCTGGCCAGAGTATCTTATAGGGAAAAGGGCCTGGTGGCTCAGCAAACTAAAAGCATTGTGATTAACACCAGCTGTCTGCAATTACTGTAAGTTCGAATCTCACCAGGCTCAAGGTTGACTCAGCCTTCCATCCTTTCTAAGGTAGGTAAAATGAGGACCCAGTTTGTGGGGGCAATAAGCTGACTTTGTATAAAATATACAAAAGTATGAAGGCTATTGCTTAACACATTGTAAGCCACCCTGAGTCTCCGGAGAAGGGCGGCATATAAATCAAATTAAAAAAAAAAGGGCAGCACAAAAATTTAATAAATAATATTTTAATGATATTTCCCTCCTAAAGATATACAGTAGTCTGACCCTTGGAGATCAGCTGGATGTCTGTCTTGGTTCTATATCAAATGTAATCAATATAGATTCCAATTCCAAATGCCTGTTTGAAATTAACGTTGCCTTATATTGATTGGTATTGTCTGAAAATCCAGAAAATTATTATATTAAAAATATAGCTAATTCAATGTATGTTAGTCTAATTAAATTCATTTAATCATTTTCTCTCATTTAATCACTTTCAGTCATATGTTTTGTCTTGTTTTTAGATAGAAACAATGAATTCTTTAACTAATGAAGCAGTGGCAATGCAGAAAGAAATAGATATCCGATGTCAGCACAAGATTACTGAAATGGTAGCACTTATGGAAAAACATAAGGTAAGCATAGCCTTTTATCTACATATAAACAAGGGATAGATAATACAATGCTGACCATTAGCACCACTGCCTGTCAGCAACCAATCCTCCTCTGTGTCTATGAGGGCAGGCAGCTCTCTGTCTGGTCGACCACCTCCTGCAATGCCTGAGGGGCCTGGGCAGCATCATTCTCAGCCCCTGGCAGCATCCCTGTGAGACAGTTCTGGTTCCGGTTCCAACTCTTCCTCCTCCTCCTCTGAACCTGGCTCCAATGGAGCCATGACACTCAGTTACTTAGTGATCATTTGAAGCTGTAATGAGCCTCCCCAGAACTACTTACGACCCAGTTTTCAAGTTCTGGCAATCTTTCCCTCCCATTTTTGGTGCTTGGCATTCAGCCCACCTTCATGTTTTTGTGACTGCGATTCATGACTTTTTTTTGCTAGGAACCTGTGTTTACTTCTGATTTACTTAGGTACAATGGGCTTCCTTAAACATGGTGCTCACTGAAGGACTGTGGCACTAAAAAGGTTGTAAAACTGGGCATGATCACATGGTGTCCCATTTAATGACACAAATTACAAATTACAATCATAATTCAGGGCTCAATTCTGGTCATAATTTGAAGACTACTTATATACTACTTCTCCCTACACCTGGCTTTGCAACCTGAGTCTGGAGAGTGAGTTTTGACTTTTCTCTCAGAAGTTATGACTGTATGACTGTAACCTTATTGCTGGTATCCTTAAGATTTATATTGACTATTTCCCTATGACTATTATTAAGTGTTGTACCTTATGATTCTTGACGAATATATCTTTTCTTTTTATGTACACCGAGAGCATATGCACCAAGACAAATTCCTTGTGTGACCAATCATACTTCGCTAATAAAGAATTGAATTCTATTCTATTCTATTCTATTCTATTCTATTCTATTCTATTCTATTCTATTCTATTCTATTCTATTCTATTCTATTCTATTCTATTCTATTCTGCAAAGCAAAGGCTTATAGGAGGCTTATTACAAATTTCAGGTTCCTTTCACTTTTCATTTCTACTGCATGCACTCACTTTTATCTTTCTGATAGGGAGTTTAGAAGGAGGGGAAATCTTTTTCACTTACTTTTAATTCCCTGTTCTGAGTCTGTATTTCTATTAGAAAAAGCCATTTATATCTGCTTCTCTAAAGAAGAAATTTACCATATTTTTCAGAGTATAAGACACACTTTTTCCCTCCTAAAAGAAGCTGAAAATTTGGGTACTCCGAATGTAGCTTTTTCTAAGCTTTTTTTTCAGCCCTAATGAGGTGCTAAAGAGTGACACAATCTTTGCCTGTTCCCTCCGACTCTCAGCTGTGCTTTAGAAGTTTTTTTTCAGTGAAGTGATCTTCCGTGCTTTGCCTGCTCCCTCTGACTCTAAGCTGTGAAGCTTTTTTTCAGCCCTAACGAAGCGCTAGCAAGTGAAGCACTTTGCCTGCTCCCTTCGACTCTCAGCTGTGAAGCTTTTTTTCAGCCCTAATGAGGCGCTAGTGAGTGAAGTGATCTTTGCCTGCTCCCTCTGATTCTCAGCTGTGCTTTAGAAGCTTTTTTTCAGTGATGCAATCTTCTGTGGTGTTTTGCCTGCTCCCTCCGACTCTCAGCTGTGAAGCTTTTTTCCAGCCCTAATGAGGCGCTAGCAAGTGAGGCACTTTGCCTGCTCCCTCTGACTCTCAGCTGTGAAGCTTTTTTTCAGCCCTAACGAGGCGCTAGTGAGTGAATTGATCTCCGTGGTTTGCTTGCTTTTTTCATTGCTTCTCTCTCCAAAGATCTGAAGCTGTTTAGAAGCTGTTTTTTATCCCCAATCAGGGTCTGGCCAATAGTCTGACCAGGCTAAGGACGCTGGCCAGATAAATACCTGGTAGGCAAATTTTTCCCCCCCTATTTTCCTCCCTAAAACTAAGCTGCGTCGTATACTCCGGTGCCTCTTATACTCCAAAAAATACGGTAAGCAAAGACCAGTGAGTAGTTACTATAAAGCAAAATGTTATTGCAGAAAATTGAGGGAAAGATGATATCTGAATAGTAAACATTAGCAATGATGAATAATTATATCTCAAATAGATTAAGCATTTTGAAGTCATTTTTCTTACTTTAATCATTGTTCTGACTATATGAAGAGAACCTTAGCATGTTTTCTGAGCCATCATCTTGAAAAGGAACACCTTTCCCCAATTGCCTTCCTGTTTGGGAAACTGAAGCATTGTTTTAGTATGGCACAATCTCTCCCACCTCATCTTTCATAATTCTTAAGCTGCTGTTCCTATGCACATATTCTTTGAAAATATTCTTATTAAACACATGGGTCTTTCTTCCATATATGTACTAAGTTTGTATATGTATATCTCAGAACATATATGGAAGAAAGACCCATGTATTTAATAGGGATATTTTCAAAGAATATGTCCGTAGGAACAGTAGCTTAAGAATGATGAAATATGAGGTGGGAAAGATTTGGGCAGGGCAGTTAAATCTCAAGTAATACAGCCAGTGGAGCTGTCTGGCTTGTTCTATTGCATTGGGAGAGGTGAAAATTGTTCAGATCTCGGTCTTTCTTTTTCTCTCTACACAGACATCATATAGACATACATGCATTCACAGACCCATATGCAACCTACATTAGTGTAGCTGCTGTCTCATTTCCAATGTGAGTCAAAATTGCCCTTCTTTATTTTTGCTTATGTACAGGTACCTGATAATTGGTCTTCCATATGTTTGATATTCCCATGTCCCAGCATAAAAAATTAGATGGAATATGCAGTTTCAGTGAGGTGGCCTCTGCCAGCCACAACAGTTTTAGCTATGAAGGCATATAGCTACTAACCAGAAACGTGATAGTGCATTTGCAGTAAGGTTACTATAGCAGAACGTTCACCCTGAAGGTTCTTTTTCCTTGCAACCTAGAATGTCCATACAGAAAGTATTCGCTGTCATAAGAACACCTTTGCCCAACTTAAACATACCACAGGCTGGTGGTTTCCATTGTGAAAACATGTCTTCAACAAATGTTAAATATGTCACCTTCAAACCACAGCAACTAAACTATAAATGAACTTAAAGAGGAAACAAAGAGAAAATTTGCTCCTTGTGATCAGTAGGTAAAGAATTGCTAAAGAATCTGTATAACTGAAGTCATTTAACCAAGCTGATTTATATTTGAATAGTCAAAACCGTATGACTTACAGAATTTACAGAAAGGTCCTTTGTTTCTAATAAGTTTTGATCAGTGATTAATAGAAGTGGCCTTATGAAAAGAGCACTGTTCAGAATGAAGAGAGCAGCAGAATGGCCTTGTCATTTCATTTTGCTATACAGAAGGGTCTTAAATGCATGTGCAGCACATTAACAGACACTACTTTTCTTGAAAAGAGACATCTGCTTGAGGCAGATTGACTTCAGTTCAGTACTTCTTACTGAAAAACAAAAGGGATATAATCTCCATAGTAAAAGTTGCTGGTTAAGATAAATCATGCTATAATGCTATAATGTACTTAATTGAAATAATATACAGCCATTTCCACTCCCTTAATAATTCTATCCAAATGCCATATTACTCTTAGTTCGGTTCTTAATGATATCTCACATTAGGAATACACACCATGGAGAAAATTTATGAGGTCTCTTAAGAGTTGATGATGATTTGATGGCACATAATCAGTATGGAATGGAATAATCCTTTTTTTAAATATCTGTTCTGTACAGCACCAATATGATAAAACAGTGGATGAGAAAGATACAGAATTAGAGTTTCATATGACAAAACTGCAAGAACTATCATCAGAAATAGAGTCTTTGGTAAGAATATCTTGTAAGTTATTTTCAGATTGATGTGTATTAGATGCAGGTGCTTTAACTTTCTATTTTTCTGAAGTATTTGCATGGCCATACTGGCTAGTATTTGGATGAAAGAACACTCAAAAAATTCAGAGTAAAACTGCAAGTTTAAAAACTTCCTGACAAATGATAACAACAAATTACTTAGGTGTTTTTGCTGTGAAAATTACATAGTGGTATGCATGTATTCACCAGAATTTGAGTAAAACTTTGTTTTTTAATAGTTTCTTTTTTCTGCTGTATTTACTCTTTATTCCTTTAAAAAAACTGATGAGTATTTCATAGGATCTGTCCCAACTTTATTTCTCGCATAATTGTTCTTCTCAGAAAAATGAACTTTCTTGTAAGAAAAGTGAAGTTTTTTCTCTTCAGGAGCAGCTTAAAAGAGAAATTAATGAGAAGGTATGTCTTCTGAACTTACAGTACAGATACACTGCTGTTCAAATAATAAATTCTTAATATTCTTCCATATAACTAGACACTAAAATATAAATCCTAATTTATATTAGCATAAAAGATGTAATCCAGCAGTAATATGTATATAACATCCATTTAAATAAACCCTTATCTGATTTTTAATTACAAACTAATTAAAAACAAATTACATACCTGAAGGAAAAGGTTAAGAAAAAGTAAACAGCTTTTATTCTTTTTAATAAAAAATAAACATGTTTGAGGGGTATTCTCTGAACTTGATTTTCTTGCAGATGTTTCATTACTGAAACTAGGTAATATCATCAGTGCTGCATTGATTATATTATCTAGTTTGGGTAATGAAACATCTGCAAAAAAACAACCAAGCTGTTGTGACTCCGACCTCCGAGCCCGTCTTATCGGAGGGAGAAGACTTCGAAAGTGAAGGAGAGGAGTTGGCAAGGCCTCCCTCTCCAGGACCCTCCTCTCTGGCAATGCCTCAGGTGTCCTCCGAAGGCCAAGAGATAGGCCAGGAGCCAGGCACTTCCGAGCAGCCACAGTTAGACAGCGACAGAGATGAGTCTTGGCTGGATCCCCGACAGCGTCGGAAAGATAAGTGTGCGCAGCAGAGAAAGAGGCGTGCCAGAGATTAAGCTGAGTCACTGGACCACACCCCACAGGGGATAAAAGGGGATGTGGTGGCCATTCAGGCCTTGTGACGGACAAAACTGAAAAGCTAGCAAGTCATACTGCATTTCTGGAACTTCGTTATATGCCCTCCTTGGATTTATTATGGACTGGACTTGACAATTCTTTGGCTTTGTGGATTTATTTTGATGTATCGGACGGAGGAGAAAAACCTCCCTTTGTGAGTAAAGTCTTTGGCAGGCAGTTACTGGGTTGCTGCCAATTCGTTATCTCAAAGGAATTCCTGACTGCTGGTTTTATTAACTCCTGGCTGACTGTTTGTGTGCGTGTGTGAGACGGGGACAGAACACAAGCTCAGAGCACCGAGGACCCCTCATTCCAACCCTGAGCTACAAATATTCTCCTTTATTGATAAAATATGTCTCTTTAACAGTACTTTTCTAATATGGTTACTAAACCAAACATTATTAAATATATTACGAAGCAATTTCCATTCAACTGAGCTAGAAAGTTAATGAGGCTTATTTATTTATTAAATTTTCATTTACTAGATTTTCAGCTGAGAGTAGATATTAAGGTTGCTTCTGAAATTAAATGACTTCTTAATCAAAAGACAAGTTACATATTATGAAAAAAATCCTTTTACTTGCTTTGTTTTCTTTTTTTTACCTTCAGGAGAATCTAGCCAGAGAAGTGAATCAGGTAAGGAGAGCATGCAGATCATGGCTTTAGAATTCTTTCCAACTCTTTCATAATAGTTTTGTTAAAGATCATGTGGCCAGAAGGGAGGGGGCTTTGAACATTTAGGGGTTTTTTTTGCTGATCACATTGCTATCTGGTCTGGCTCATTTTTTAATCTTATTCTAACTTGGCTGACTTCTTCCCTCCAAATCAAATTTAGTTTTGACCTGTTCAGCTTTCAAAGTATGATTGTTCAGTTTTCAGACATAGTTGTCCTGATAGACAGGTAAAGTCCAGAGTCCCTTAAGGTAATTTCTTTCCCACATTCTGTTTGGCTGGAAAAGAATAAAAAACAAAGTGACTTATTAGCTTTCCTTGTCAGAATTTCTTATACTTTGAAATAATTTTATCTTAGAAGTTAGATTAATTCAAGTTAGTTGAATTTATGGGTTTTTTTTATTCTTTTGTACTGTTCTTACTATATTTAATTTTAGAAACTACAGGCATCACTTGTAGAAATTCCTAAAGCTACTAGTTCAGATTCTCTGTCAGTTAACTCCCAAAAGAACATATGTCAACATTTTATACCTGTTAATGAGACCATAGAATATACAGAGAAGTCTTCGTGGACACCTGCCAAGGTTTGTTCCTTAACAAATTATTTTATTTCTCTTTCATTTATTTTAGGTTTACAAAGACAGTTATTGTGAAGCTGGTTTTCAAATATTAACTATTTGATTTTTAGAGAAAAATGTTTTTAAAATATTTTTTATTTTTATTAATTCAAGCCTTTTGGGTACATTAGAGTCATTAAGGTATCAGGCTAGAAATCAGGAGTCTGTGAAATCTACTTCTGCCTTAGACACAAAGCTAACTAAGTGACTTTGGAATAGTAACTCTTGCCTTAGGAAGGAAACAGCTGCATATATTAGTAAGAAAACAGAGGGACTAAAGAAGATCAACAAGAAAACAAATAAAAATGGGGGGTAGAATAGAATGCTTACATATGTATTTACATACAGTATAAATATAATCTCTAACATAAATGTTATCATTTTTAAAGAAAAGTATTATTGTAGTTGCCATAAACATTACACTGAAGTGAGATTTCAAGTGCGAATTCAAGAAAATGATATTTAATACAGGGATTAAGAAAAATAAATAAAAATTAAAAATATAGTTAAAAAACTAAGAAAACAAAAATGTGTTTGCAAGAAAAAGCATTTTAGCAACCCTCTCCCTTTTGTTATTTTTTCTTTTCAATGAGTATTAATGGGTACGCATTTTTTATTATTTTTAAACATCTGCAATTATTATTTATTTAGATTCTTTTAATTATGTTTAGATAGTTTTCTTCTTTTTCTTCAAAAAAATTGTGTCTTAATTTGCCTTGTGTTATATATTGTATATAAGGAAATAATTCCTGCTTAAGTGTGGTTAGACTTAGGTTACAAATATATACAATCAATCTTTCCATTGTCACATTTTCTCTGATTTTGGACTTTAAAATCTTGTATTGTCAGCAAGATTGTTTTCTTTTGCAATATTGTGTGTGCCAGATTCTTGCCGCTGTCAGCATGAATCTTAATAAATTGTGATGCTTTTTCATTTTGCTTTCGATAATCAATATTTGTGGTTTCTACTGAACATTTATTGTCAGACTTTTCTGAATGCTTTGGTATTTTTTTTCCCCAAAACATTTGAGTCTTTTTGCATGAGTGCTATATATGACAAAAAATTACATTTTCAATAATTATTGTATGATCTATCTAGGTTGGAAATTATTGCAAGAATTTTATACCATTTATAGAACATATACCAATTTTCTCTCATGTTGTGGCTAAGTGTAAATTTTACTATTTTTTCCCATAGTTCCACTCTTACCCTACTTCCCCTAAAATAAGATATCCCCTGATAATAAGCCCAATTGGGCTTTTTAGCGCATGCACTAAAATAACACCCCCCACCCCCCCCAGAAATAAGCCGTCGCCGAAAATATTTAAACACATTGCAGCCAGTCTCCGCCATTTCCTTTGGTTTCTTCCATGTGCCCAAAATAATAAGACCTCCCCAAAAATAAGGCCAAACACTTATTTCGGGGTTCAAAAAAAATATAAGACAGGGTCTTCTTTTCAGGGAAACACAGTATTTCTTTAAAAATAATTTTAGAGCATACCAATTTTCTCTCATGTTGTGGCTTAGTGTAAATTTTACTATTTTTTTCCATAATTCCACTGTTATTTCTTTACAAATTTACACTCATTTTATCATTTTTAATTTGTTTTGTCTTCATGTTTTATATCATATTGGTATATGTAATCATCTTTTTCTTATATTAATTATCCTTGAGAAAAAAATATTTGAAGATGATGATGATGCTAGTTAGGAAATTGTTGGACTTTCAAGGAATTTCAATTTTTTAAACAATTTTATTAAATTTCAAAAAAAGAGATAAAAATGCAAAATTACAACCAAAGAGAAAAGATGGAGAGTAGAATAACAAGGAAAGCTTTAAAAAGTAAAATTAAAAAAAGAAACATCACAAATAACAAAAAAGGATTACTTCCAACATTCTTCAATACAGATACAGATGTACAATAAAATGCACTTTAACAAAAAGAAAACAGATACAAAACTAAAAATATAATGATATATACTAAAAAATCACTTAATAATTGCAACAGTAGATATAATACCATAAGCAGTCTGAATTAAATATATAGCCCATACATACATCATATTATGAATTCCAAAAATAATCATAATATTACTAGATTACTAATTAAATAATATATGTGTGTTTTAATTAGTATAATTAAAGTTTTAATTATACTAATTAAATAGTATAATTTAATACTAATTAATTAGAAATTAAAAACCAATAAAATACTAATTAAGCACACACATACATACATAAATTATGTAGTATAATGTAATATGACCCTAGGTACTCCTCAAAGGGTTTAAGGAATAGTAATGCACATATTTGAACTTTTTTCCATGTGGTTCAGTCTTTCTGGGATTATTATTACTTTGACTCATTAGGATATTTCATATCCTCTCCCTAGAGTTCAAGTCCTCTGTTTATGCTCAAACAAAAATGTTAATGTGCTATTACCTTGTTGAATCATTTTAGATGCCTTCCGTCATAAACTATAACAAATTACATCAAGTGAGACATTTAACATTATGTTGCTTAAAAGGTTTTAAAAACCTTTTACGGTTTATCTGTTAAAAGCCATCATAACTTGTTTCTAATATTTTATTTTACATAGACATATACTGTAAAGACACCACCAAAATCTAAACTGCTAAGAGAAAGCACCAATTTAGTTTCAGAAGGAAGAAAAAAGAAAAGAAAAGTTATTTTGGAATTGGATTCTCGGTCAGACAGCTCTGAGAACACTGATCTCCTGGTATTAATTTAAAAATTACTCTGTCTTTTTATTGAAATGACTTGGAATATGTTCAAAAAGTAGAATTATTTTATTAATGATAAATAGTAATATTTAATGTAGTATCTTCAACTGTTGTGGTTATTCATGATTCTTATTTTTCTTATTTTTATATAAATAATATAAAATATTATTATATAAAATCCTTATTTTTACAGCAAGAGCAGGGCATTCCTCAGAACTTGATAAAAATTATGAAAAGAAAGTTATAAATGAAATGAAAATGTTTAAAAATTGTAAGTTTATAGGTATAGATGATATGACTGGAAAAATGTAAATATATAAGATGGTTGTTTGGGCTAGAGAATTTTTTGTTGACTCTCAACTTGCTTGTTAACTACTAAATAGTAAAATATTGCCAACATAGTAAGAAAGACTAGAAGGTACAAGCAACTTACTTCAGAGATTCCTTAGTAGCTTCTTTGCTTCTGGTTTGTTGAATTTTTCCAATTGATGGATTGACTTTAATGCTCCCGGTTCGGACCGGATTGCCCGATCCAGTAGCGATGACGGCAGGTGGTTCAGAGAACCGGTAGCAAAAATCCCTTCCCACCCCCCACGTCCAGCTGAGCTGCGCGATCATCAGGGGCTTTTTTTTTTACTTTGAAAAGCATTTTTTCTTCAGCTGAAAAAATGCTTTTAAAAGTGTTAAAAAAAAAAAGCCTGTGACGATCAGGCAACTCAGCTGGGATCGTCAGAGTCTTTTAAAAGCATTTTTTCTACAACCTCTTCGGCCGAAGAGGTTGTAGAAAAATGCTTTTACAAGTTTAAAAAAAAATTGGTCACACCCACCCAGTCACATTACCCTACCACCACCAAGCCACGCCCACAGAACCGGTAGTAACAAATTTTACATTTCACCACTGCTTTATTGTAATTTTTTTTTGCAAACCCTATTACATTGTTTCAGAAGGGGGTGATGCATTAGCAATAGAATAGGGAATCATGATGAAAAATACAAAGACATGTAAGAGCAAAACAAAGAAATGATGTAGAAAGAGCTTGGGTTTGCAGAATAATGCCAAAGATGAACAACTTAAACTAGAAGACTTGCTATAGTGCAACAAGATAAGTAAATTCAATTTAAATTCTTATGCCTCTCTTAATAATCTGCAGTATTATTCAGGGAAAGTGAAGCACTTGTATCTCTTGAGGATGGGATACAATTTGAAGATGGGGAGGATATGAATATGTGAGAGTTGAAGTTTTTTGCCCTGGCCTAATATTGATTTGATGTATCATGTGAATTAAAAATACAAAACCTCTCAAGGAAAGTGACCTGGCAATATAGAGATGACAAAGATTGGAAAAACAAATCATTTTGAGACAGTTATTACATTACCATGACCTGAGTAGAAACTTTCCTTGCCCAAACAAAACTATGGTGCAGATTACTGCAAGTGAGATGAATGGGAGCAGATAAAATTCTTTTCACCCAGCTTCTTTGATGACATTAACCAAAGTGACCTAATGGACAATTAGTGGTTCTAATCTATTCTGGATATAAAACAAATATAACATTTAAATGCCCTTTCTTCTTGCAGGAAAGATAGAGATTAGGGGTGTGGGAGTAAGCAGAGGGAAAAAGGTTTAAATTATTCCTGAACAGGTTTTTAAATATATTGATATTCCCCTTTTCTAAAGGGGCAATATTCTATTTGAGGCAGAAGGAAACAATGGCAATTGGAAAAGTGCATCAAATATATTACTTTCCAAAAGAAGATAAGCTGGTATAAGGAATCAGATTCAAGGTCAGATCTAACTAAGCATGAATTCCTGGAACAAATAAGGGAGGGACAGCCAGACTGGAAATGAGAGGAGAAAAATATTTCCAATCCAACCTTTATCAACTTGTTCTTACCTGAACCAAAATAGATCTTTTATTTATTGGAAATAGTAAAGGGCTCATTAACAGCAGCTGCCATTTCCAATTAATCATTTAAAACTTTAATCCCAATAAATTATAAAAAGTGGCACATTAAATACTTAACTAAAGGTCAATGAGAAAATAGATCAGAAGACAAAATCAGGTTAATAAGGGAATTAAAAGGATTTAGCTCTTAATTGGTAGCTAAAGATGGAAAGTAAACAAGTATAATAGAAACTTTCCCAAAGGAAAAAAGTGAGGCAGTAGACATAAACAGGTGATACTGAGTTCTTTCTTAAAGATCTAATATTGCATATCAAAAAAATATTGAAGGCTATGATTGAAAATCTGTTGGGATAAGTGCTGCTTAAGTAGAAGGTAAATAAATACCATATTATACATGGATGATGTAGCCATTTATTTCTGAACACCTACTGAATGAAGAACTCTTAAAAGTCCTTTCATGCATGGTTCTGTAAAAAGAAATTGGATATTAATCACAAATTATTAAAATTACATTTTTTGCCAGAAAATCTGGTGAATAAATGGGCATCTAAGTATCTGGCAATGGCATTTCATTTTTATGGTAGTAAGAAAACATACAATATATTTTTTCCAATATGGTAGAGAACTGCAACTATAAATTGTCAATTCTTGAGATCCAAATGTTATAATTATATTGCAGCTGCCTTTAACAGATTTCAAGGAATGCACATATATTTTAGTCCCTAATTGCTGAATTTTTAAGCTCAGAAATTCAGATGTGAAGATATAGAAACAAAAGACAAAAGAAACAAAAAACAAAAAAAACAGTTTTATGCAGGGGTGAAATGCTCCCGGTTCGGACCGGATCGCCTGATCCGGTAGCGATGGCGGCAGGTGGTTTGGAGAACCGGTAGCAAAAATCCCTGCGCCCCCCCCATACCCAGCTGAGCCGCGCAATCATCAGAGGCTGTTTTTTTTATTTTTAAAAGAATTTTTTCTACAACCTCTTCGGCCAAAAAAATGCTTTTAAAAGTTAAAAAAAAAAGCCTCTGATGATCACGCGGCTTTGTGTGTTTCAAAGCATTTTTTTTGGCAACCTCTTCAGTCGAAGAGGTTGCAAAAGGTTGTAGGAAAAAAAATGTCTTTAAAAGCCTCTGGCGATCTCAGCTGACTTGCCTGATCATCAGAGGCTTCTAAAAGCATTTTTTTCTGCAACCTCTTCAGCCCAAGAGGTTGTAGGAAAAAAAATGCCTTTAAAAGCCTCTGGCGATCCCAGCTGACTTGCCTGATCGTCAGAGGCTTCTAAAAACATTTTTTTCTGCAACCTCTTAAGGTTGTAGAAAAAATGCTTTTAAAAGAAAAAAATTAGCCACGCCCACCCAGTCACATTACCCCCACCAAGCCACGCCCACAGAACCGGTAGTAATAAATTTTAGTTTTCACCCCTGGTTTTATGTCTTGATGCAGACATGATGAAAACACAGGCAAGAATATGGTTATTTTAAATTCAGACTTGAATCTGTGACCTCAAAAATGCTATTTAAAGTCATCCTATTTTCCTATGTAGCTAGCCCATTTCATTCCTGATGGTGATTTTCAATTTACATGGAATATAACATTACTGTTGAAATTAACACTCTTGGGTTTTCTCCTCCTAACCTATTCTCTTTCTTAGGGAAAAGTTTGTACAAAGGTGTAGTACTGATTCTAAACACTAGGCAGCAATGTGTTCTAACTAGTATGCCTAATTTCCCCTGAAAATTGGAAATTTTTAATATTGACAGCAGTTTACTCAAGCAGTTAGAAGTTCCAAAGTACAGAAAGCTTTTACATTGTTGTGTTTAAAATATTTTCCTTCCACGATTGCAGAGGAGAAATACAGGAAAATCCTACTGTGTTTCCCTGAAAATAAGATCCTGTCTTATATTTTTTTGAACCCTGAAATAAGCGCTTGGCCTTATTGCCATGCACTCAAAAGCCCAATTGGGCTTACTATCAGGGGATGTCTTATTTTGGGGGAAACAGGGTATAGTGATGTCTGTGTAAACTAAGCGAATTGGGACCGTTGAGCATTCCCTTTTTTAACTGCCTGTTATATAAAAAATGTGTGTATTAGTTTGATCTTCCTGATATTGTCAAGATTACCAGAGCACAAATGCTATTATAACGAATTATAATGCCTCAGTAACATGTAAAGTTGCTTCCTTTTAAGTTGCAATTTACAAAACTTTCCAGAAATTGATTAGGAATAAAAATTGTGTAAGCTGTGAAATAATGTTTGATATTTTATAAATTAAAGCTGACTTGATATTAAACACCTGATTACTTTTAGACATGTAGTACAGTATAACCATCATTACTGTCTATGTAGTTCAGTGTTCTTTTCTCTATAGTTGGCTAACCAAATACATGTATCTTTGTATCCTCTCCAGCAGGTCTTGGTGGAGACAGTAAATAACAAAAACTCCCAAAACTTGGAAATAATTTTCCAGATTTATGAAATAAATGATTAGCTCACACATACATGTATTATTATTATTATTATTATTATTATTATTATTATTATTATTATTATTATTATTATTATTATTATTATTATAAAATGTATTCATTAAACATGAAAATCAGTCAACTGGACATTAAAAATGTGTCACAAATACCATTGACTGATGCTAATGGCTGATAGGGGTTGCTGCCAGCGTCCTAGTATCTTCTTAAAATATATGATGTTCCGAGTAGCACAGTTTTTTGCAGTTTTGCTGGTGTTATTGCAGGAAGCTGCAATTTCTTGATGTGTTTCGTAAAATTCTTGGGCATGATACCATATTATTACTACTACTACCACTACTACTACTACTACTACTAATAATAATAATTTTGCCATTTATCTTGACATGGGGCTACTCTAGGTGGCTCACAACCATAAAAAACATAAAAACAAAAAAGTTTAAACAAAGCAAAATTAAAATAGAATAATAAAATAACCAAGGAAAAAGAAAACAAATAAAATACATCAATATGATTAGTAAAAAAGAATGTGCATATTAGGAGCAGAGAACAGGGGAGGGGAGATGGCATCTGTTATCAATGTAGCAGCCACCTCCAGAGTTGAACTCTCCCTTTGGGTCCCTAAGCCAATTTGCAGAGCCAGGTATTTAGGCTCTTATGGAATGATAGGTTGGGGGCAGATCTTACACTGGAGAGCAGGATGTTCCAAAGCATGGGTGCTTGGAAGAAGTCAAGAATTCTTCTGGAAGAAGTCAAGACTTCTTTGACTGAAGGAATCTGCAGTAAGCCCTTTGTGCTGGCCCAGGTAGGATAGGCTAGACTTAACAGGACAATATGGTTCATATGTATCTTCCCCATACAAGTTTTTATTTATATTTTTGTATATCTTTTTGAAAGTTTTATATTTGGTTATCTAGAAAGTATTCAGATAAATTATCAAGTTAATTTATTAGGGTTGCATGAAGCAGGTGTCTTCCATTAATGTCCATGCAAGAAGCTCAGGAACAGCTTTGCTGTAATCGTAGGAAGAAAATATGCCTCCTAAAATGCTGTACATAGCTCTGTTTCGTGTAGGATGCATTGGATTCTTCACTTCGAAATTATTTTTCCAATACCTAAGGATGGTCATTCACACTCATTGAATTAAGTGAAATGGAATCCATCTTTATGTAATAAAAGGATGGTCAACTGGGCATATTTTTTATTCTTCAGTGCCATAGGTTCCACTTAATGATTTGATACTTGATACTATGGTATCAAAATTCCCAATTAATTTATCTGGAGTTCCTTCCAGACTTTTTGTAAGCATTCAATGTTTTCCTCCAGACATTTCTACAACCTACTTTATCGCCCTTTCTGTTCAACATTTATGTGAAGCCGCTGGGTGAGATCATCCGTGGCTTTGGGGTGGAGTTCGATCAGTACGCTGACGACACTCAGCTGTACATCTCCACCCCAGGCCACCCCAACGATGCCCTTGAAGTGATGTCCCAGTGCCTGGAGGCCGTGCGGGCCTGGATGGGGAGAAACAGGCTCCGACTCAACCCTTCCAAGACCGAGTGGCTGTGGCTTCCGGCGTCCCAATATAGCCAGCTGGTGCCATCGCTGGCTATTGGGGGCGAATCATTGGCCCCTACGGAGAGGGCTCGCAACTTAGGCGTCCTCCTGGATGCACGGCTGTCTTTAGAAGAGCATATGACGGCCGTGGCCAGGGGGGCTTTCTATCAGGTTCGCCTGATACGCGTCCCTTTCTGGATCGGGACTCCCTACGCACGGTCACTCAGGCACTCGTCACTTCCCGCCTGAACTACTGCAATGCTCTCTACATGGGGCTCCCCTTGGGGTGCACCCGGAGGCTGCAGTTGGTCCAGAATGAGGCCGCACAGGGGATTATGGGAGCAACGGGGCGCTCCCATGTGACACCTCTCCTGCGCGAGCTGCACTGGCTTCCTGTGGTCTTCCGGGTGCGCTTCAAGGTGTTGATGATTACCTTTAAAGTGCTCCATGGCTTAGGGCCAGGGTATTTGCGAGACCACCTTCTGCCGCCAATAGCCTCCCACCGGCTGGTTCGCTCGCACAGAGAGGGCCTCCTCAGGGTGCCGTCGGCCAGACAGTGCCGGCTGGCGACCCCCAGGGGGAGAGCCTTCTCTGTGGCGGCACCAGCCCTCTGGAATGACCTACCCCCTGAGATACGCACAATATCAGACCTCCGGACTTTTTGTTGGGCCCTAAAAACACACTTATTCCATCTAGCTGGGCTGGCTTGATCCCATCCTCTCAGTTTTAATTGATTCGGTTTTAATTTGGGTTGTTTTAAATTATTTGGGCCAAAATTATTTAATTGTTTTTAAATTGTTTTTTAAATTTTGTATACGATGTTTTATTTTGGCTGTGCACCGCCCTGAGTCCTGTGGGAGAAGGGCGGTATAGAAATAAAAATAAATAAATAAATAAATAAATAAATAAATAAATAAATATATTTGTTCTCGATTTTAATGGTACTTGTTTACTTTTCTCATTTATAAATGTCATGCTGCCTAATTAGTCTGCTAAGACTTTATTAACTGATTCCACAGAATGAAATATTGTTTAGAAACTGCATTATACTGCTATATTCACTAACATTCTGACTTGTATATTCCAGGAATATTGGCATATGATTAAATTACTTTTGATTAGAGATTTAAGGGACTTATTCATTGTAATATATTTTTCATGTCCACATTTTATTTTCTATACACAGAAGCCCTACATTAATACTGTGAAAGCAAAAAAAACAAACAAACAAACCCCAGGAGTCTCTTTTCCCCCCCATAGACTAATATAGTCTCTGTCTATAATGTTAACAGAAGCAACAAGGGCAATGGAGATTACTATGGAGGAGATGCCAAAGAATAGATTCCTGTCCTTCTATGAATTTAGATCACATTCTTTGTGAACTAAGAGGGAGAGAGAGAAAGAATACAACACCTTAAATTAGATATAATTTAGTTTTTGCATGATGTAATATATAATAAAACATGAAAGAAGGGATTCAGTAGATGCAAATATTTAATTTTAACTATTATTTTCCCCCAAGAGTATTGTAACAGAACAAGAAATGTTTAAAAAGCTGAATAAAGACTATTCAGAATCTTCTCATCTATGCATCAGGACACCAAAGCAGGTATTTTAGTAATTTCCTGGAAGCCAAATTTGATCTCAAAATGACTATTTATCAAATACTAAGTCAAGTATTTTATCTATAGATTCAAGCTCCATCTATTCTGAAAACTCCAGGATCTTCGATGAAACTTGCCACTGTAAAAAAGATGCGAGAGGCAGGATGGACTGCAATCTCCAAAATTGACAGAAGAATAAAAATGAAAGAAGCTGGAAAGCTCTTTATTTAAACCATTTTTTTTTTCGTTTTAGAAGAATTAATTGTTCAGTTAGATAATATATTTATATTCAAAGTTACGTTTCTATTAACATTGTGTGAAGCCTCAGTGGGCATATAGATTGACATGCCCTTTGAAATTGTTTTGCAATGTGGATTCCAATCCCTAATCCTAATCCCAATAAGAGCTAGACATGTTGAAGAGGCCACTGCTGTGTCTGTATTGTTTTGCAACATACTGTATTTCTAATGATATTTGCAGTGAAGCCCATCTCATTGCCTCTGGTGATCAGAGTCAATATTGCTCTGCAAAGCAGCTCTGCTTCACACATGTCTACTTTCTATATTTTGTTTCAATAACATTCATTTTTACAGTAATGTATCCCAATTCTTTTGAAAATAGTTTATATGTTGAACACATCTCTTAAAAGCTCATCTTATAGAGCAACCCATTTCCTGTAGCTACAGTTGTGGGAAGTATACACATCCCTCCCTTAAGGATTTCATCTATGTAATAATAATTAGTAAGCAGAAGTAATAACCAATACTTCCTCATAGAAAAACGAAGCAAGATTTCTTCCCTTAACCCTTTGTTAGCCTTCCCAGGTGGAAATTCTACAGGTGGAAATTACCGTAAGCAAATATGAATGTTAACATTATTAATATTGAAAATATAGTTTAAAGAATTAAATTTTCATGTTATTTACATAAGTACTGTACTATCAATTAAACAATCTCAAACTGAGAAGTTTTTTGAAGTGGGAAGCAAAATATTATTGTTATTGGAAATGCATTGTGGTAATAAAATTATTTTATTTTCTGACACTGAGTTAAGTCATATTCCTAATTAGCACAAGGATTTAAATGTCTTATTAGCCACATCCAAAAACACAGTCCTTTATAGCCTTCCTAGTGATGTTTTCATAAATTATGATTAAGATTCAAGTGGGTTTTTTTCTAGGAAAATAAATCAATCTAAATTGCTTAGGTTGTATTAAAGGGTAATAAGTGATAATTTTGAAGCTCATCATCTTCATACCACATCATGCTAAGATTAAATTAAATTCTTGATACATCTTGATGCAGACTAGCACTGATGATGTTACCTCATTTGGGTGATGAAACATCTGCAAGAATTCAAAGAAGCTCAGAGACCACCAAGGACCCCTCATATTAACCCTGAGCTACAAATATTCTCCTTTATTAGTGATGCATTTTCATTGTCATCACATAATTTTGGGACCTGTCTCTTCATTTTTGGACAATTAAAAACATTCTGATACTACCAATGTGACTTCTGAAGCAGCATTAATGTTCACTGTTAAAGATTTAAGCAAACTACACCACTGGGAAAATAGTATAGATACAAATAAGAATTACAGTCTTTATTCAGTAAAGCATTTTAAATCCAGAATATCCATAGTGAATAATCAATATTCATGATAGATTACAAAAAGTCAAAACAACAAAAATATTAGTGTAAAAAGAAACTTTTATTTGAATACAACTGTTGTCCATGTTTTCCACTTCTCCCAATACAACAACTAAATTCATCCTGAGGTTTTCCAAAGTCAGGTAGCCAGCACTGTTTTAAAGTGAAAATATAAATGAGTTTTGTACATAAGATTAGTATCAAATGTTAAAGGAGCATCTTAATGACCCAAAGATGATAAATATTAGGAGCAAAGGAAAGGAATATAAATTTGAATTGATTGATCAGGGTTAAAACAAATACTACATTCTGGGAATCCTTTCTGGATTTTTAATTGATACAGGACAGAAATTGTAATGACATTTGGATTTGTGAATGGATTAAGTTTGAGATGCAGAAAGAAGTGATTTCTATAATGTAATATCAAGTTGAGCCTGGATAGCTCAACAGACTAAAAGCCTGTTATTAACATTCAGCTGTCTGCAATTATTGCAAGTTCGAATCTCCCCAGGCTCAAGGTTGACTCAGCCTTCCATCCTTTCTAAGCTAGGTAAATTGAGGACCCAGTTTGTGGGGGCAATAAGCTGACTTTGTATAAAATATACAAAAGTATGAAGGCTATTGCTTAACGCATTGTAAGCCGCCCTGAGTCTCCAGAGAAGGGCGGCATATAAATCTAATTTAAAAAAAAAAGGGGGGGGGCAGAGAAATAGTAAGTTGCTTGTACTTGTATGGAAGTCACTTTAACTTTTTTCTTTTTTCCCTTTTTTCTGCATTTTTAATCTCTATTTTGCCTCTCTTTTCAGTTTGTTTTATTTTTTACTATTAAAATCTTTAATATCTATTTTTCAAAAAAGAAAAATCAATACATTAAAATACTGATAATGAAATCATTCTTTAGCTAAAAAGAATATTTGATTTAAAATACATTCAATTAGTTCAATGAAGTAATAGGTCAATGCTACTTAATTTTAAAACTCAACAAATGGCCTCAATTTTTGAATGTTGAATTTTCTTTCAGTCTTAACATTAAAGTTAGTTTACATAATATACATATTGTTTAAAATACATATTTTGATCTCTTACATTTTCATATATATTGTTTTTGCACTGTGCCTATACGGTGAAAGCCGTGAGTCTCAAAGCTTGTCTTGGAAGTCTTCTGGATGTTCACATCTTGGTCTCAGCCCCTGCTTTGAGTTAATGGCTTGGTAGTTTTTACTGCCACTATCTAACTTTTGGGGAGCATCTGGCTTATGTTGCCTTCTTGGAAGTAAAAAGCAGGAGTGGGAACTTCTTTTCCTAATATGGCTTCTAATTGTAGTTTAAAGTTGTATGACTAAGGGTTTCCTTCCTTCCTTTCAGAAACAGACCTATCCTCACTAGGAAGAAGGGAGGGAGGGAAATTTTAATTCAGACTTTTCCTGTTGTGCTTATCTGCTACAAATTAAAAAACTAAAACAAAATAGAACCAAAGTCAACTTAATATTTCAGAATTCCAGATTGTATATAAACAGTATAATTCATGAGTATCAATTTCCTCACTTGTACTGGAACATAAAAAACAAGATAGCACAGCATATAACTCAAAGATTTAACTTAGCATTCCTCACTAAATGTTCTTATGTTTCCAGAGATATCCGTTTTCTAAAACATTTAATTATTTGTTTTAAATAGCCATCTATCTCAAATACATGTCTGGATGGCTAATAGAAGGAAAACTCACAAGAACAGCAATTAGCACAAATTTTGTTGCTTGCCATCAGTTTCTATAATCTTACAATTTGGTACTGACCAGAGTGCTGATCTAACTTCCTCTTCTATTACTAGAGCTTGTAGGTAGGAATATCTTCTCAGATATCTTAGAGGTTGACATCTATAATATTTAAGTACACCCTTCCAATTTTTCTTTGATCTTTGAATAAATTATTGTCTGTCCATTGGTGTCCTTTAGCATACCAATTTGAGATTGGTAGATTAGAATGTTCTGATTCCTTTGAAAGATTTTCCTCCCCCCCCCCAAGTCCATTTCTATCTTGAATTTGTTGAAATACCACCTTTTACCAGGGTCTCTATTGCTCTTTGTTGAGTGCCTTCCTAATATTTTGTCTTTCTGACACAGTTTATAAACAGAAAGTTTAGTTTCGTCATCTTTGGCAATCTCTTTCAACATTCATCCTTAGCAACTTAAATTCATTCTATAGTTCCACTCTTCACACACATGAATACCAGTCAAGTGCTTGTGCTATCCCATCAAGATTCATCCCCTCCAAGATGCATAAATGTACACTTGCATTTCAAAAAATGTATGCAAGTGATGGCTTTGTAAAATATGTAAACCAAAGCACTGAAATCCTACAGTGAATGTCTGGCCCTGCTTTCTACACTCAGATTGGTGTGTTCTGGGAGGTATCTGTAACAGTAATTCATCAAATTATTTGCATAGTTACATATTCATCATTGTAATATTGCTTTTGTTTTTGCTTCTATCACGGGCACCTGTGATGGTCAGAATCAGAACTCAGTAGCAAATAGGAACCAAGGCCACATGGAAGGTATGATTCCCCAATTTCTAACAATCAGAGTTGGAAGGGACCTTGGAAGTCTAGTCCAACCCCTTGCTCAGGAAACCTGCTGTCCCACTGCTCAGCAAACCCTATACCATTTCTAGTTTCACTTTAGAAAATTTCCAATAAACTGGACAAAGGCAGAATTTATATATGTGACTGGAATAATAAAGGAAATGTCTGAAAGATTATGATAATTAACACATTATTTATAGTAATTTTTAAATCTAAATCGATTTTATGCAATGCAGTGCTGAACTTCCATATTAAATAATTATGTAATTTTGCAGCTAATCTTGGAAAATTTCAATTAATTGTAGGTGTTTAAAAACCTGTAAAGAATATCTGAAATTTTACCTCTGCAGAACAAGCAACAAGTATAATAATTTCTATTCTTATGTCAATGCTAATGGTAGATAAACCCAGAGTTCTTTGGCAGCTGGTTTTTTTAAAATCTGCTTTTAAGACATTCTAGGTAAGATTCTGCTTCCTGTCAACTTACTGGATTTACATCCACTTAACACATGATACAATAGATATGTTTCCCACTTCCTACTCAAATCTAATTCTTTACAGGAAGCAAAAGCATAACTGCTTATTTTTTCAGTAATAACCTTACATTTATGCAACATTTGTGACATCTTTAAATTGCCTGATTTTTTAATATTAATCTTTTGCATTTTCTGTAGCACTATTTATCACTGGAGCACATCTAGTGCTTGTTATTTCAATTGGATGGGATTACTCATTCGATAGCAATATAGAAATGGTAACTTCCATTTCATGAAAGTGTAAATGATTGATGTCAGTGAGTAGTTGTTTTGGTTAAAAGAAAGGTTAAAACTGAATGATTCATACTTAAATGGCAAGAACCAGATGTCATTGGTTGGCACTTTCAGTTTTTAGTGGAGAAGTCATTAATTTAATAGTCAGCATTAAATAGATTTGAATTAGGTTTGTCATATTATGCTATGGTTTATTGATTAAACCACAATGGGCTGCATACATAGGACATGGTTTATGTACCATAATGCCTAGGCCCATACAATACCCTTAAGTTAAAACCAAATAAAACCAAAACCATTGTAATTTAGTGCAGTGTATGAATCCAGACATAGCACGATTAAATATAAAATTATTGATCACATTGATGTTGGTACTGGACAAAACTTTTCTAGGAAGAGAATTCTGAGAATATCTGGAACAAACCAAAATTACATATATAGAAATTTAGTGTCACAGTCATGGATAATGTTGCTATATATTGGAATCTTGCTTGTTTGTGCTAACCATGAGAGTTCATCTGTCAGAAAATAAAATCATTTAGTACAGAAAACTAGAAATTTTCAACTGAGGTGGTATGAGTGGTATTAAATGCCACGTAAATAATAGTTTCTCATTATGAATATTTAATTTTATAAAGTTCAAATATTTTCTACAAGAACTTTGGATAATTAAAGTGGAAGTATACCTGACTTCTTTTAGTACAACTTAACTTTGCAAATTATTTTGGAATAAATGCTAATGGAAATAAATAAGAAAATGTGTACAATACTGACACTTAAAAAAGATAAAAAATTATAATCTCCATTATTAAACTAGTCAGTATTCCTAGATACCATACACATTTCCAGAAATCAGCCTAATAATAGTCTATAATTATGCTGCAAAATAAAGCAGGAGGATGATTTTATAATTATATTTTAGTGTCCCTCAGTTATTACATGTAATCTTAATGAGTGTTCTATTAAACTAAATAGAAGGGTTGACCAATATTTACTAAGATTCTTCCTCCCTTCTCATACTTTATCCATTTCCTTTGTA